GTGTAGGTGCTGGGCAGGTGCAGGTGCATGTTTGTTCACAGAACCATGGAGGCCAGAGTTGATGTCAAGTGTCTTTGTCTGTCTGTGACACTCAACCTTAGGTATTAAGGCAGTCTCTTGTTAGACGTGGGCCTCACCAATTTTGGCTAGTCCAGCTAGCCAGCTTGCACTGGGGATACTCTGACCCTTCCTCCCTTGCACTAGGATTCCAGGTTGACTGCCATATCATTCTGGCTTCTATGTAGGTGTTGGGGATCTGAACTCCAGCCCTCATGCTTGGGCAAGCTTTTTACCCATATCTCCAGTCCTTACCCTCCCCCTTTTTACTCAATCTGAAACCACAGTCCATGGAATGGTATGCCCTATGTCTACGTTAGGTCTGTCAACTTCAGTTAACCCACTCTAGAAAATTCCTCGCTGGGCTGTGGTGGTGCCCATGCCTTTAATTCCAGCACTTGGGACTCAGAGGCAGGAGGAGCTCTGTGAGTTCAAGGCTAGCCTGGTCTACAGAATGAGTTCCAGGACAGGCTCCAAAGCTACACAGAGAAACCCTATCTCAAAAAAACAAAAAAGAAAAAGAAAAAAAGAAAGAAAATTCTGTATATGCGCGTAGAGGCGTGTGGTTTTCAGGTGATTCTGGAGTCTATCAAGTTGGTAATCAGTGTTAACTGTCACAGAGGAGACAGCCAGCATGTCTGGGATGCTGGCAGTCACCCAGTGCTGCTGCCTTGGGCAGACCTCGAGACTACTTCAGGATCACACAGGCAAGGTGGCTTTACTGAGACCATTGTCACCTCCTGTGATGATACCTGCTACCTGTGCATCCTCGTCTCTTCCTCCAAGGCAGAGAACAGAACGGTCTCAGACAAATTCATGGAGACTAACTTATGCCACAGAACAGGGCAGTAAGGTCAGCCTTACCTCTGTGGGGTGGTGAGGACACTCTTCTGACTCAGCCTGCTTTTGGCAGGGGGAGGGAGGGTGAGGCTAATGTGCCCGAGTAGGCAACTCTATCTGGATCCTAAAAGGGGGGTTATGCAGAAGCCTAGAAAGAAAGAGAAAAACCACTTCTGGGCAGAAACATCCCAGGCCAGCTTGTGAGAAAGGAACGTGACTCCCCAGGGACAAAACTGGGACAAGTCTCTGGAAGTCAGTGGACAGCAGAGTTTGGGGCTCTTCATAAGTGGGGCAGCCTTCCTGGCGGCTGTCAGATAGCACATATGGGAGAGAGGGGAGAGAAAGAACACTCTTGAGACTCCATATGGGGCATGCGTATTCTCTCCTATCTCCCTGGGAAGGGAAATTCAAACAGGGCAATCACCAGTCTCACCCTGTATGGAGTTCCTGGGTGCATAGCTGGCTGTGTCTGCAGGGGGCATCAAAAGTGTGTCTAGGCAGTGGCTGGGTTCTCCCACTACTTCCCTGACTGGGGAATCCTTTGTGTGGCTGTCCTAGATCCTAGAGTCCCCATTGGACAGGTGCCCGGCCCTCTTCAACCCTCTAGGACTGTTGGGAAATCCTAAGGGGAATGCCAGGTTGAATCAACTGAGAACACTTTGTCTCCAATGATTAGGCCCAGGACAACCTGAGATTCTGGCACCTTATATGGGAGTCTTCTTACTGCTCTGAGATCAAGACCCTTTTCCTCCCTGGGTAATAGCAAGGAGTCCATTAGAGGGCACGGGGTGGGAGCGGTGGACTCTGCCTGCCTTTCTATCCTCAGACACCTTGAGGGTCCCAGCCAAATATGACAACAGCTGGCACAAACATGGCCACAGGGGCTGTTGCCAATTCAAATGTTAAAAGTGGGGGCTTGGGAGGTGGCTCAGACAGTAAAGTGCTTGCCTTGCAAATGTGAGGACCAGTGTTTGGTCCCCATAACTCACATCAAAAGCCTAGGTGTGACGGGGCAGTATAAACCCAGTGCCATGGAGGTGGAGATAGGCAGGTTGTGCTGGGGCTCACTGGTCAGATAGTTCGGCCTCGCTGATGAGTTCTGGGCCAGTGAGATTTCCTGGCTCCAAAGACCAAAGAGGACAGTGCCTAAGGAATGAAACTGAGGTTGTCCTCTGCCCTACATAACGTACATGCACACCTGCTCACACGTGAGCCCACATGCACACAAACATACATATACATACATGTACAATATTGTCAAAGCCAGGCTGGTCAGGTGCACTGGCTATGCCGCCGTGGGTAAGCACTGGGTTGTTGCTTGGATTGTTTCTCTGCTCTCTCAGATTTTCTCAGAGCTGATTTGTGGCTGTTCTGCCTCCATCTTCCCAGGCGGGCATAACACAGGTCAAATATGCAGAAGAAGAGATTGACCTGACTGCTGGATTACTGGCTAGCCGTGTGACTAGGGGTGTCTGCCAGGCCGAACTCACCTGTAGATCCTCCCAGTCTCTCCCTGCCAGTGATCATGGGAAGCTGATCCCATCAACTGTGGCTTACTGATGATCCCTCCTTGCATGACTAGACTCTTACTCACAGTCCATTGGGTGGTCTCACCAAGTGCTCCTCCTCCTGAGCCTCAGTTTCCCCATGTAGAGAACGTGAAGGGCTCCAGGATTACAGTGGCCCCTTTTAGTTCTTGACCCTAGAGATTCAACAGAAGGAAGTGGTGGCCGTTAGTTGGATTTTTACTTTTTTCTACAATCAATTTAGGAAACTATGACCTTGTTTGGTGGGGTGACTTTTTTAATATTCCCAGATGACAGGCCGATATGTTTCCTCTGAAGACTGGTGATTCTGTTTGAACAGGGCAAGTCCCCGAGTAGATTAAGAAAAATATATATATATATATTCTTTTGAACTAACCAAGAAGACTTTTCTATTTTTGTAAGGTTATTTTCCCAACAGTGTTTTTCTTAAGTTGACTGGTGAAAAGGCACGCAATGTTTCAAATATAAACAAATCACTTGGAATGGACAGTGTAGGCAAGGGTCACTTGTCCACAGGTCAGCCTGCCTACCTCTCTTATTGCTGCCCACCATAGCATATACTGCTGAAGCATAGCAATGACTTTGGGTGGGCTCTTTCCTTGTGTTGCCCAGTGTAGCCTTACCTTTATCTCTCAAAGTGTCTGTGCAAGGCATAGATGTGGGATGCCTGATAAATGTGTAGGGATAACCCGCCCAGCCCATAAGACTGGAGGGAGCAAACGGCTCTTGCAGTCCACGGCTCTTGCAGTCCGCGCCCCTCCGCCCGTCTCTCTGCTGCCCTCTAGTGTTCTTGTAAGATACTGTCACTGAATTCCATACCACATCTCTCACATCTTTTTTTCTTTTCTTTTCTTTTCCTCGTTTTCTTTTGGTCTTATGTTATAGTTTTTGTTCCTTTTTTTGTTTTTCTCACTAGCATTCATTCTGTGGCCTTGATGACTCCCATGCGCCGAGAACTCGGGTGTGTATCCTTTACTTTCCATTGACTGATGCAAAGCTGACGTAGAGAGGAGGTTGGCTCCCCTGGGAGATGAGGTGCCAGGAAGGCAACCTTGTTCTGAGGTCTTCCACTTCAGCCTCTTGGGGCGGTGTGGTTCTGGGTCCCTGGGGTCTTCCTGTAGAGACACGTGACGGGGCTCATTGAGACAGACAGGCCCCGGGGCATTTCATCCACAGAGACGTTTATGTCTCATTCCCAAAGCTTCCTCCAGCCTGGCTTAGTCCCTGCTCTGTTGTCATGTGCACATCTCCTATCTTGTCCAAAGCAAGTGACCTTCTAGGGGCCAAAGAGCAGCAGGTTGACAGGCCAGTGGCTCGTGAGGCCAGATCCTGAAATGACTGCACAGTGTCCAGGAGCCAGGAGTGCCCTGTTCCTCATCTCTGTAGCTCAACCTGCATGGCCAGTTATGATGGCCAATTATCTTCAGAGACCCCAAGAATGAAGACATTCTAGAATCTGGTCCTGCCCTAGCTGTTGTCCCCTTGTACCCAAGCACCTAGCTCTCAACCGGAGTTCCTGCTTTGGGACCTCAGTCGTTCCACATTCTCTAGGTGCTGAGTGCTCACCCTTGGGGCTTGTATCTGCCAGGACCTCTAAATTTTGGAGTCTTGACCTTGAAACCAACCTGAGCTGAGAGATCTTGAACTCCAGGGTGCTCTTGAAGGCCACTAGATCCCTAGATGGTCCACCAAATGTCCTTAGGGATGTCCCTGACTCTGACAATAGCCCACAAGGACTTAGGCTGGGTATCTTCTATGTCCCAGTGCCTGGGATATGACCAGACACGTAGTGATTGGTCATTGTGTGTAGAAAGAATGAAGGGCTGGCCTGAGGTGTAGGAGACAGTTCACATCATGCCCCAGTGATGGATCCCTGGGGCTGGGGCTATCCAAACCCTGCTCTGGGCAGCTGTCAAGAGAGGTCAGGGTGGCAGGGGCCTGAAGATAATTTAGGGCCCCCTCAACTCTTCTTAACCCTTGATTTTTGTTTCACTTCAAATTATTCCTTACTCTTACAGGCTAGACAAAGAGCTTTCGGAATCACCTGAGTCCCCGTGGTGCCCCATCCTCACTCAGACCAAAATCCAACAGGACAACAAGTTTTTTCGAAGTCCGGAGCCTGAACCCAGAACTTATGCACATTTGACAGTCACTTAAAGGGGAGGCCTGGGGACCTGGCTGACTTCTGCTGTGGAACTCTGTGGGACAATGGGAAAACCTCCCCAATGTCTCCACTGTGGCATCTTCGGGAGCCAAGGACAAAGGATCTGGATGGCAAGAATCTAAGTGCAATTAGCGGAAACCCAGGGCATGAGAGCTGCTGCCTCAGGGGATAGGTGCAAGCCTGTCCCCGTGCTGTGTGCCTCCCTGAAGGCGCTATATGTGCCTCGATGGATACAGACACCCCCTCTGCCCTATGTACATAAACCTCCATGGACTGAGTGTTCTCTTCTGGAGTCTGTCTGCCAGCGCAACCAACAAAACCTTTGGCTCCAGGCACAGCTGAACTTGTAGCTGGTGGCCAGCAAGAGAGCGTTGGAGTTGCCAATGTGGGAGCCCCGTGGATTGTAGATTTCTGAGGAAACTGAAGGCTCCAACTCTCTAATAGGTGTGATACCGCAGACGTCCCAGAGCGTGGCCCTGCTTCAGAACGGGGGGGAGTGAGGATTGAGAGAGCAGGCCCAAGCTGCCTGTTATAGTTTGTAGGGGTATCCTAAAAAGAAGCTCAGGCTGTTGGAGCAGAGCCCGGAGTCTCTGAGTTCAGAGGTCTGAGGCCAGGGGGTACCCTTCTACCATAGAGAAAATACCATAGAGCTGAGGCCAGAGGTACCCTTCTACCATAGAGCCTTCACTGCCCAGGATCCTCGGTAGAGAGTAGTCATCTCCTCAGGTGTTGGAGCCTCCCCAGAGCACAGTGGGTAAGGTGGGGGTGGCACACCCTGGGTTCACTGGAAGCTAGGTGCTGGGAGTCGACTTCTAGAGGAAATTACCTGAGAAGTAACTTGGAGACGTTCCTGTCAATCTAGGGCGGGTGGGATGGGTCACCTCCAAAAGGTATCAGCCCAAGGCTATACTCTCCCACACTCGGGACATGGAGAATGTTAGCCACTGACTGACAGAGTGGAAGAGGTACACGGTGGTGAGTCTGTGTGGGGAGCCCACCATGAGTTTAGACGTGGCATGGTGGCAGCAGGCTGTGTTGGACCACGTAGGTGGCACCAGGATTTCCTGGAAGCAAACAGAAATGACTGGAGTTCAGATCAGGCCCGTCGAGGGGACTATGGAGCAAGGGCCTGACCTTGTAGGGAAGCCATATCCAAAGACAGAGAAGCGAGGACCGTGCTCTGTGTGGAAGGGGGCCGTCCAGACAGGAGGTAGTTCCAGCAGACGTGAAGTCTGAAGCTGGAAGCGAACACACCAGGGCAGCTCAGAAGTGTTGATTCTTTGCTGAAATCCGAATCCCCAAACACCTACGACCCACAAGCCCAGCCTCTGGGACTTACTCGGTGGCTTAATTAAACTCCAAGGAACCCTTCTTTGACAACAGAGATATCCGAGTCATTGAGTGGCAGGAACATGGGTACCAGTCAGGAAAATAGAGAGCATTCCTGCTTTCCCTGGTAGAGATGTGGGGTGCACTATTCACCTGACTTCTGTAGTCAGTCATTCTGGTGCATCCCAAAGAGTCATGGAGAAGTTGGCCACTGTGTCTGTCTAGAATCTCCACAGGCTGTGCTGGAGGCTGGAGTGTGGTCCTTATACCTCCTGTTCATACTTACTGTGAGGGAGAGGGCAGCCTTCTTGTCTGCTTGGCTTTGTCACTCAGCACCTTGTGTGATGGTGGCCTTAACTCTGCAGTCAGACCCATCTGAGCACCCCCAGCTCAGCCATGTCCCTGCTGCAGACAAATCACGTTCTTGTGACTCTGAGGAACACACCTTACAGATCCCAGACCATGCCTCATGGAAGAGCTTCTGTGACCACAAATGGACAGGAGGACCTGCATCATTCCACGGGACTTCTGGCATCCCTACAGTGGCTGGCAGGAGCAAGCATCTGAGTCCCTCATGAGGTGGTCCTCCCAGGAGTTATCCCCACTGTCCAGCCGGGGCCGGTGTCCACCCCTTTCAACCTCCAGGAGGCCACTCATGCCTGAGAGAATGCAACTCACACAGGCAGGTGTGCAAACTGCCCCAGTTCCCACCAGGACCCAGAATTCTTTGTCACTATCTTAGGTATTGCTACCTAAGGCCCCATTAGGAACAAGCCTGGCTAGGAGCCATAGTGCTCAGGGAACCGAAGGGCTGCGCGGCACCAGAGAAGCTCACCTCCTCTTTCCAGCCCTGGGTCCCGTGAGACACAGTCTCAGGGCTCTCGCTACCCATTAACACTTGTGTGCAGTTTCCAGGGGAACAGAGCTACAGAGTCAATCTCCAAGGTTAATGCCACATTTTTTTAGACAGGAAGGCAGGTGGAATCTTTCCATGGCCCTCCTCCCAGACCCACTAGGAGGATGAGGCCATAGCCCTCCCTGTGAAGTCTTCAAATACAAGGTTCTTCTTCGATACCCCAGTCTTCTAAGCCAGTGGTATGCAATTTTGAGCAACACAGAGAAGCCTGGGAGTCGGGGCTATTCTGCCACTCTTGAAGTCTGTGGGGGCTAAACAGAGCAGCCCGGGCTGGGGCCAGGTGGTCAGCTGAGCTGAAAACTGAGGGCACCCTCCGGCTTTAAAATGGAGGGCATCCCTAAGGCTGTAAGACTCATGTTCTACCAGCTCCTCTTCACTTTGCATCTCTAGCTGGTCACAGGGAAGGTTTTGCTCAAGTGCCCCTGCGAGCACAGTGTGGAGCCCCACCCCTACCCATCAGCTGTGTAGGAGGCGGGGCCTGTGTCCTTGCTCAGCTTTGCAGAAAGTGCACCCAGCCTGAAGTCCTCCCACTTGCTTCCTACCCCGACTGGGCAAGAACTATGATAATCTGGCTCGAGGGCCCTAGACCAAGGCCTTGTTCCCTGGAGAGTTGCAGTCTGCCTTCCCCTTGTCTACAAGGTCCCTGTTTCCCTTGGATTCCCTAGCCAGGTTGCAAACAGGAGTCCCTCTGCCCCAGCACTCCCAGCATCATGATGGGAGTCCCTTAACAAACTGAGATTAAATATTCTTTTTTATTTTTCATATTTAATCTCAGCTTGTTAAGAGACTCCCATCATGGAGGAGGAAATTCTGAACCAAGCACTTTCTACCTTCTTTCTCTGTCAAATTATTAAAACACCCTTAGGGGTTTCTGCAGACCCCAACCCATGTGTTCAGGGCCCTACTCTGACAGAAGGAGTGGGGTCTCCTGGGCTGAACCTGCCCCCTCTCCCTCCCTCTTCCTTTACCTCAAGGCTGAGGTTTTAAGATGGGTGCCCCAGTCATGACCTGTGGCTATCTCTCAGCCATGCCCTCAAAAGCGTTAGGCCCTGCCCTTACACAACGAGGCCACAGTACCAACCCTCTACCTGGCAGCCATTTCTCTTTTCAACCTTCCCAGCCCCATCCTCTTCTCCCCCTAAGTCTTAGTGATTCACCAAGAAGACCCAGCTGTCCTGTGCCTGTGTGGGCAAGAAGGGCTGTTTCTCGGGAGGCCATCTCTTGGACTCTGCTGCCTTCAGCTAGCAGCCATCTTCCCACAGCAGGTGGCATCTTGTGGCCAGTGTTTCTGGGGCTCACATGCCAAATACTTGGGGAATCGTCCCCATGGTGGGGTAAAGAACTGTTTACTGTTCATGGTGTCGTTTTGCAAGGTGCTGGCCTCTTGCCCAGTAGCCTACAGCAGCTAAGCAACAAAGCTGATCACAGCCCAGGCAGCTGAGAGTGTGGTCCAGGCAGCATTGCTCTATCCATCCCATCCAGCCGGTATTTAGCCTTGAGGATGCGCTGGGCTCTCGAGCAGGCTGTGTGAATCCGCTCATGTATTTCCTCACTGGATGCAGATACCTGTACTCACACAGTAAGCAGAGATCCTTTTACGAGATGTTCAGTACTTTGTCCAGATTCATACCCGAGGCAGGATTCAAACCCAAGGAGTCAGGCCCAGCACCCAGAGTTTGAGTTGATCTTCCTGTCCCTTAAGGCCAGTGGTTCACATTGTTCGTTCCACCTGCCCGCCCCACTCAGCTACAGCTCTTTATGCACCCCCCCTGCTCCTGCCCAAACCCCAGAAAACCACTATTGAGAACTCAAAAGGCCTCTTTGCAAAGGGAGAAAGGAGAAACACTCTCTTCATTGCTGGAAAGCATAAAGCCAGTGTGAGATATGTCCTCAACAGCTCAGAGGGGGCATGGGCAGGATGTTCAGACAGCGGTACGTGATTTCCAACCAAACCCCATTGAATCCTAAGACCATGGCTGCTCCTTTCCAAGAATGACTCACCCCAAGTTCACTCACTAGCTGGGCAACCTCCTGGCTCCATTAAGTGGATTTATCCGAAGGGTTAAAATAAATGCCTATCTTTATGGCAAGAGGCAGTTGTTTGAGAAATAGCAAGGGATTGAATGCGCAGCAATGTGCAGAGGTGGGAAGGGGATAATGAGGTTTCCTGTGAGCCCCCAGGGGCATGACTTTGGAGAGGAGCACACCTGAGTGCTCCGAGGAAAAGGCGCTAAGACACCTGAGTGGAAATCTGAGTGGAAACCGCTCTCATTATTCCCTGGGGGCGCCACGCCTCTGATGTTCATACTTCTGTCCTTTCACCTCTCTGCCTACTCCTGGCCTCTGGTGTGCTTGGTCACACCTCAGATCTTTCCCTCTATAAACCCTTTGATGCCACCTTGGACCAGCCATCTCCTGAGCTTGACTCTTAATGACTGTGACTGCCCTGTGCGCACAGTGAGAGGCCCAAGAACATTAAACACCTATGTGAGCATGGCCCCCTTCTACGTGCCATGTGGCCAGCCACTCCTATCCTATTGGCTATGACCTGAGGTGTGCCTGCACTCCAGGAATCGCTGCCTGTGCCTGCCTGCTGCTCCCTTCCATTCCTGCTTTTTCATCCTCTGGATCCACCCCTCGCCCCGCCCTGAGCACCCAGGGACTTGCCTGCTTTCCAGAAGCCAGTTTCGCTCCATACTTGATCTCACAGCTCCCGGGCTAGCACACACATTCTCAGGTGTGGAGTCAGACCTGGCTGTTCCTTCCCATCTGTAGGGCTTGGACAAGCTCTTCCACCTTCTGAGGTCTCCATTTTACCATCTCTAAAATGGTCATGATGATGCCTACCTCCTAGGGTCACCAGGACAACTGGACTAGGTAGGTGTGAGAGACCGCTCAGTGTGGCATTAATTTCCCATCTTCTTTGCCTGGCAGACTGTAGGTCCTTGGTAAGTATGTACTATATACAAACAGTGGTTTGGACCCTCATTCACTGTGGTGGGGATGGCCTTGGCTGGCCTTGGAGAACCTGTAACTCATGTGGACTCCCTGGAAACCTTTCTTTTCCTCTTTGTGTGCCTCGCTAAACATTTAATTCCAGGTGACTGATCTGAGCTGTATTCTAGCTTAGGTGTGTTCTAGCACACCAGCGTGTAAAACGAGATGTTCGTACATATTGCATGACGTTTGTGCGGATGAAACCCAAGCCACCCGCTCATGAATAATCCACCTGTCCTTGTTCTTCTCAAAGGACATTTCCCCGGACAATCCAAAGGCATGGTAGCCACCTCGAAATTTCCAGAAAACCCATGTTGCAGACTCAATCCATTTTTCTTAAGCCTGGGCTAATGAAATGTTTCCAGGATGGAGCCAGCAGCCCAGGAACAGACCGAGAAAAGCTTCCGCTATGTCATCAGAGCTCCCAGCAGCGATGGCTTTGATGTGATGAACGTGGATGTGAAGATCGACACGTGCTGGGTGTTCCGAGATGTGGAGGAGAGTGACCAGGAGCAGGGATGCCTTCCAGAAGCAGTCAGCAGCCCAGACTTGGACCCGGAGCTGCTCAGAGAGCAGCTGGAATCCTCAGAGCGGAAGCTGTTGGCCATTGTGGACAAGCATGTGATGTCAGAGTCAGGGCTGAGGAGCAGGTGGGTGTAACCTTGTGAACATGCTGTGCAGGGGGAAGGGGGCATTGATGGATTCCCTTGACACAATGATTCTTTGACTCCTGCCTCCAGCTGGCCTCCCCAGAGGTACAGAACCAGCCTTGGGTGGTCATTTGCCCTCACTTCTCCTGTCGTGGTCCTGTTCTGTGCCTGATCACCATCCACAGGGTCTGGCCAACGGGGAGCACTGACAGTGGATGAGAAAGGGGAAAGATAGCCATCTTCCCTTACCTTCGTTCTCCTGTGGCTGTTCCCAGACGATGTGTGCATCTCTTCTTTGTCGGCCCAACCCCTGCTGTATGGCTTGGTGCAAACCCTGGTCACATGCTCCCTCCGAGTCGTCCCCTAGCTTCAGGACCAGAAGTCCCCCCAGCGTTGCTGAACCAGCTGTCTATTATCTCTGTCTGGCCTCCCAGATCCTCCATCATCTTGGTACAGGGTACCAAGCAGTTGTTTCTCTCTGTTGAGCTTCTGGAGTGGGTGAGCCCTGTGGCCTGGTGAAGCCAACACAGACCCCGAATGGCCATTGGAATCAGGTCTTCTTTTCCAAACCACATCTTCTGACTTTTTCCTAATGGTTCCTCCTGTCCTTTTTCTCCCATCCCCTCCCTTGTTTTCCTCTCTTACACTCCCCTCTCCTCCTCTTCCTGTCTTCCCTTTCTTTGGTGGTTTTGTGGATGGACGCTGTAGGCTGCTAGGGTCTTGCATGTCCTAGAGCGACACTGTGCTGCCAGGTCATACCCCAGCCCTCCCAATGATTTACTTTTCTTTACTTCTTCCTTTTCTCCCTCCCTCCCTCCCTCCCTCCCTCCCTCCCTCCCTCCCTCCCTCCCTCCTTCCCTCCCTCCTTTCCTCCCTCCATTCATTCTCTCAAGAGGAGGAACTTGCTTTGACCTGCTGTCTTAGAGGTTTCCATGGTTAGCATGCTTTATTGTTATAGGTCTATGACAAGGTGAGAACCTCATGAAGGGTGCTGTTCCTCTCATGGTAGCTAGGAAGGGAGGTGGTGTGTCCCTGAGAGTTTCTTGAGACCTTCTGTGTTAGTTATTTTTCCTGTCACTGTGGCAAAACACTGAATTAATGGAAGAAACACAAGTTCATTCTGGCTCACAGTGGATTTTAGTCTGTGCTGCAGATCTGTTCATTGATTTGGTCCCAGGGTGAGGCAGGGCACCTGGGTGGAGGCACCTCTGACCCGGAGCCCAGGGTGAGGCCAGAACCGCTGTTCTCTTTGAAGATGAGGCGGACATCTTGCAGAAGAGGACCAGGGGATGGGGAGGTGGGATCTGTGGCAGGGCTGAAGGGGAAAAGGGACCACTCTGCCTTCCTTCCAGTCTGGCCCCACTTTGAGACCCTTGAGTCCTGAGATGTATAGAGTGTTATTACCTCCTTCTCCAGATGGGGGAGCTGAGGCTGAAAGCATAAACTATAGGGTCAGGGGTAAGAAGAGCAGAAGTAGGGTCTAAATGGCCCACTAAGAATTCAGACACCCAGCCTGGTTTCCTGGTGTCTTCCTGGTAAGTATGGTGAGTGTCTGGGAGTGCACACTGGGCTTGCCGCAGCCACAGAGCTAAATTGCGGGACCAGTGAAATAGGTCAGTGGGTTAGCATGTTTGCTGTCATGTCTGAAGATATGGGTTCAGTTCCTGGGACCCACATGGTTGAACGACAGAACCAACTCCCACAGAATTGTCATCTGACCTCCTCATGTGCCCTGCCCCCCTCAACAAAATAGATACATTGAAAACAAGGTGAATGGTGCCCGAGAGATGACACTTGTGGTTGTCACCTGGTCTCCCCAAAATTAAAAAATAAAATAAAATAAAAAATTTAAATCAAAAAGTGATAACATGCCAAAGATTTTTATTATGGAAATAGTACAGAGCTGGGGTGAAGGTTCATGCCAGGAATCCCAGCACTTAGGAGCCTGAAGCAAGAGGACCATTGTAAATCACAGACTAGCCTGAGCTAGAGAGTCTAATCTTGTCTCAAAAACTGAAGTTAGTTAACTAAAACAAATGCATAAAATATGAAAATAATGAATTTATTAGAAAATCAAAAGGACAAAAAAAAAAGCCTGCTCCTAGCTCACTGGACTGTTTCGCAGTCATTTCTGACCAAAATCCAGCAGCGTCACACTGAGGGCTTGTCACACTCTTGCTCTGAGCCAGCCCTCCCTGCTCAGCAAGTGTTCCGTGGCTAATCCTTAAAACTGGAAAATAGGGTGAGAGTATTCTGTGTTACGATAGAGACACCAAGGCCTGGATGTGCAGCTGTGCCTGTCTATCTTTACGGGCAGTAGGACTTGATTCCAGGTGCCCAGAAGTCCAGTCTGTGGTCACTGTGGGCCCATGTGCTCACGGTGGGGCCTCCTGGATTCACGGTGTTCCATGGTCCTGGGTGTATGGGTTTCCTGGGGCTGCCGTGACAAATGGCACACACTTGGTAGCTTTTCTTGGCGGTAGTGGTGGTAGGATTGAAGGCAGAAGTTCTCATAGCCCATGCTGACCTCAGACTTGCTAAGTAGCCATGGATGGCCTTGAACTCTTGACCCTCTTGCCTCTCCATCCTGAGTGCTAAGATTATAGGCATACAACCGTGAAACTTGGTGATTTAAAAACAGCCTACAGAGATGGGATTAAAGAGGTGGCTCAGTCTGTAAAGGCCTGATGTACAAAAATTAGGACCTGAGTTTGAATCCCCCACACCCAAGTAAAAGCCAGGGTTGGTGCACACCTCCAACCACCGTGCTGTGAGTCAGAGATGAGGAATCAGCCAAGCTCACTGACCAGCCTACAACAAGTGAATTCCCGCCTCAGTAAGAGGCCCTGTGTCAAAATAAATTTTAAAAAAATGGAGGGTGGTTGAAGAACACACACCGTGTCCGCTTTTGGCCCCCACACGTATGTATGTTTTCATTCACATAGTGTTTCCGAAACAAAATAAAACCCAAACAGCAGGAGCCCTGGCTCAGTCGATGAACAGCTCTGAAGGCTGGAAGTTAGGATTCAGGCTTAGCTCAAGTTGTCGGTAGGGTCTTACCCACTTCAGATACCCTTGGGACTGACTCCTAGATGTTTGACCCTCAGTTCTCAGTTGAGCACCCCTTTGGCCCCCAGCCCATCTCCGAGCTGCAGCATGTGCGGTGCTCTGTGCCTCTGCAGCTTTCCTCCCTATGGTCAGCTCCACACAGGCCTCCTCTAAGGAGCGAGAGGCCGAGTGATGCTCCAGGACCCATCTCCTCTCACAGACTGACTTCACCCGCCCTGTGGCTTCCGTGCCTGTAAAGGGTGATACCATTCTTCCAGGGATCAGGGTCTGGGAGTATCTGGAGCCAACTGTATTGTATCGATTACTGCACTGGCCATCTCTTCTTGCTCCTGTCAGAAACTGTCTTTGTCTCCTGAGCTTGGGACACAGGCTTCTCCCCCAAACGTAGAGAATGACTTCACTTTCTCCTTTTCGGTTCTTGGTGCATCTCAGAAACAGTGAGAAGGTGCCAGTTCCATCTCCTGACTGATTCGCTTGAGGGGAGTTACTGAAGTGAGGCAGGGGAACCTCCCCAAGGAAAGGAACCTTTAGTTGTGTTTTGAATTGTAAGACACCATTTCTTTAATCTAGACAAAATCCTTTGGGCAAAGCGCAGTTGTCTGTATCTTTATCTGACAGATGAAAATCTAAGGACCTTAGTGGTAAATTAACCCAGTTAGGCTCCCATGGCAGAAAAGACAGAGGCAGGAAGCAGAGCCTGCCCTTCTCTGTAGATCAGGGACTGAGTCGGAACAGAAGGTCACCAGGTAGTCTTGGGTGAAGGAGAAAGCATGCGCAGAAATGGGAGATGGAGGGCTATCTCAGCTCAACGTGACCTAGCATGGAGGCAGGGCTAGCACTGTACTAGAGACAGAAACATCTTGTCTACCTGTGGTGGGAGCATTGTTCTGACTTCCTCTTCAGGAAATGGGAGGTGGAGGGCTATCTCAGGCCAATGTGACCTAGCGTGGAGGCAGGGCTAGCATTGTACTAGAGACAGAAACGTCTTGTGCACCTGTGGTGGGAGCATCGCTCTGACTTCCCCTTCAGGTGTCACCATCATCCTGCTGTGTCACCTCTTCTGTTTGTAGTCAGGGGTTGTCCCTTCCCAGCTAGCACAGTCTCTGCTGGTCATGCAGACAGAGCTCTGTGTAACTCAGCCGCTCCCCATGTCAGGCTCTCAGGCCACTCCCACAGACATTTTTTAAAAATTATTTTTATAAATCCCAGAAACCTTCTTCTGACTGTCAGTCATTTCCTTAGAAGGCATTCATAAGTTTGAGGCAAGAATGTCTAAGGTTAAAAGTCAGCCTGGAATCCACAGTCTGTGTGACCTGGGGAAATAACCCCTCTCCCAGGCCCTCAGTTTTCTCCTGTGTGAAGAATACTACCCAGAGGCTGGTTAACGTGTGAGCACCTTAAGGTTAAGGTTCAGAAAAGCTCTTGGCTGGTTGACCTCCACTCAGTGTCTCAGGTCTTCGTGGATGTGGGTCGCTAACTTAGGGCTGAGAAACACTTAAGGTTGAATGCCATGGCAAGTGACATTGTGTATGTGTGTATACACACCGTATGTAGTATGTATATCCATGCAATGCCCATCTGCACACGTGGAGAGGCCCAAACAGGACATGAGCATGTCTTCCTCCATTACTGTCCTCTTTATTGCTTGAGACAGGGTCTCTCATTGAAATGGAAGCTCACAGTTTGGCTAGGCAGACCGTCCAGTGAGCTCCGAATGTCTGTCTGTCTCTGTCCGCAGTGCTGGAGTTACAGGCACAGCCTTTATGTTGGTGCTGGGGATTTGAACTCAGGTCTTCATGCTGACCAAACAGGTGCTCTTACCAACTGAGCCATCCTCCCAGCCTTGCAAGTAATGTCTCTGAGGTAGAGCAGAAACTTTCTAGTAAGATATGGATGCCTGGGATGGTGGCTCACTCCTGTCATCTAAGCATTGGGAGGCAGAAAGAGAAGGAGTTTGAGGCTAGTCTGGTCCACAGAGATAGCCCAAGTTGATGACGTATGTGAGTGCTTTACAATGAGGTTCTCAGGCCAGTAGCCGGGCCAGATGACTGAGGCGGTGTTGGTGAGGTTTACACAGTTCCCGCCCTGAGCGAGCGTTTCCTGCTTATGGTCCTGCAGGGTTGAGGAGCTGGAGCTGTCTGAGAAGAAACTTCTCCTCAAGGTAGAGCAGCTGAGTGCCTGCATGGCCCAGGAAAGAAGCGCCTCGCTCTACGCCCAGGAGCAGCTACAGGCACTGCAGAGGGAGCTGGTCAGCCAGGTTCGTATCTCTTCTACTTCTCAGTGCCTGGTTGTGTGGTCACCCTGGGCTTCAGCTTCTCTGTCCCCCTCCCAACCTCCCAGGCCTCCTGGGGAAAGCGTGGGTGTCAGCATGTTGGTACCTTTCTCATGCCTGGGCCCCCGAGGACAGGAGGTGGCCAGTGTAGGTCTCTGTCTTCAAATTGCTGCATGCAGGTGGGGATGGAGGGAAGAGAAGAACCTGGTCTGGAGTGGGGAGGGGGACTTGGGCACATTGTGGGTGTGATAGGAAAAAGGCACTTCAGAGACCTGAGGGTAGACCTTTCCAGACCTTGTGAAGTGTGAGAATGAGGTGGGCCAACACAGTGCTGTGGAGGGCCAGGGAAGGAGTTGTACAGGGAGGGGAAGGCTGGGAAGCACAGCAGGTCCTCCAGCGGGGTCGTGGTAGAGTTAACCCCCTAGCCTTGGCACTAGGAGGCCCAAGGACAACAGCTAAGGCTTTGTGGGGCAGGCAGGCAGGGCAGGCAGACAGAGCACAGTAGACAGCTCCACCTAAGGGGCAGGTTTTGGAAGAAAACCCTAGTTCTGCTGATGAATTGGTTGTGTGACTTTGGTCAAGTGACACAACCTCGACAGGTCTCAGTTCCCGTGTATGGAAAGCAGTCATAATATGCTCCACCCCTCAGGCGGTCATCTGAGTTAACTGAGGAGATGCATGTTGAATGCCCAGAGAGGTGGGTGTCGCAGTGTTATCTGCATCTGCCATTCTTGCTCATTATAAGAACCCTTCCAGGAGGGGAGATGATGATTCAGGACACATGGAGGAACCTGGATCCTGCGATAGGTACCCTGTGATGCCTGGGCGTGGGCTTCAGGGATTTCACTTTAAAGCAGAGCTTCAGGGCTTTGAGATTACAGGGTGCAGCCTGTTCATGGGATGGGAACTCAATACAAACAGGTGGTGCATGCGCTGAAGGGAGCATTGTTTGTCAAGTCTGGTTTAGCTGTGCCTTTGTATGTGTCCATGACATAGGTGATGATCCTGGGTATCTCAGACAGTGGACAGCCATGAGACAGCCAGGGTACATGACATAGTATTTACTGACACAGAAGTGGGAAGTGAAGGACCCCAACACAGCTCAGCTCAGCACAGTCCTCGAGTACTAGGGGGTTAGAATCAGGTGAAACTGGCTCCACATGCCTTTAGCTTCTCAACCCCAGGGGTGTCTTTATAGCAAGGTACAGGCTGAGGCTCTGCACTGGGGACATGTGGTTTCTCTGAGGAGACACTTAATGGTTTTTTGAGCCTTGCTCTGGACACACCTGGGATTCCCCAGGGGAGTTGGGGACAGTCCTGCCATGGAGATGCTTATAGGGTAAGGGTGCCATGTAAGCTAATTGCATTGGTGGGAGGAGGGGTTTGGGGGAGGCCAGGGAGCTACATACCCTTTCCACATACTTCCCTGTTGTTACTACTGTTTTGAACAACACAAATACACTAAGGCGGGCCTCTCCAGAAGCTTCTTTATAGACTCAGTGGCTTGGTCAGAGTCACACGTGGCCCAGCTATAACCCAGCCCACAACCTTAACCTCTAATCTCTCTGCTTTTGGTGGAGACATTGGCATGTGGGAGTCAGTATTGCAGGGATGTGCAAATAGGATTTTGGCATCTCTTGTGTCTGATCTGTCACAGATGGTGACTTTGTTCTGGTCATATTTCCGGGAAGCAAAGAGGCCTCATTTCTGCAGTGAGCTCTGGTCATCCTGTGAGGTGCCAAAGGCTCACCCACTCATACCATGGATCTCCATGCACCCAGAACCACAAAGACACCCAGTACAGAATCCACGCCATCTTAAAGCCAGGAGAATTTTCCACCCAGAAAACGCAACTCTAGTTTTCATTCCCTCTCCACGCCCTACCAATAAATTATCCACCGAGCCAGCCTGAGCCGACTTTGTGCCTCCTTTCCTCTGTGCACTCTGTCTCTCACCTGCAGGCTCTCTGGCAGCAGAGGGAGCAGGCAGCTGGTGAGAGACCGCTTACCACAGAGGCAGTGTTTGCCTAGACAGAACGTGAACACTGAAGACTCCCATTTTTTCAGGGTTGTGTTGCAACCCAGTCTGGTTCATTGAATGTGATAGGGAGAAGGCGGGGTGTCAAGATATGGATCAAATGTCCCCTGCTTAGGTAGATGGCCAAGGGACGGAGAGAAGTCAGATACAAGGCTGCCGTGCTGGGCCCCAGAGCTGGCTGCTGTCCCATTTATTTATTACAGACTTTCGCTGTTCTGTTATACAAGTAACTTCTGAGTATGTGGTGGGGCTAAGGACAGCCCTATTTGGGGGTTGGGGAGGCATTCACAGTTGTGAACAGCTGCTGTGGCTTCCTGGCCCCTGCTCAGCTCACATCACTGACGTGAGAGATTCTGGAAAGTTCTGTGGAGTTCGGAAATTGGTGTGAACTGTTCAAACTGAACAACTTCAGAGCCATCTGCAGGGGGTATGTTCCTCCAATCTACTGCACACACACAGACTTAGGGAGCTCCTGGGCTCACACTAGGGTGAGGTGAAGGCGACTCTTGTCTGCAGTGCTAGCAAACTCAGTAATCAGCGAAACTTAAACATTGTGTATTTATATTGTACGTGCGCATACATATGCCAAAGTGGAGGTTAGAGTCCAGCTTGTGAGATTGACTGGTTCGCTCTTCCCACCATGTGCCTGTCCTGTGGAACCCAACTTGGGTCTTCATGCTTGGTAGCAAGCGACTTTAGTCTCTGAGCCATCTTTGATCCTTGCGTAAAGTTTCAATGCAAAGTACCCACTATGCACGAAATACAAGACTATTAGGGAGAGAAATCAAAGCGAGCAAGCGCGTGCCTGGGGTTCGGGATTCCCTGACGTCCCCATCACCACAATCCTAGGTGCGGGAGGCCAAGAGCGCGGCCAGACGCCAGCAGCGGCTGCAGGAGCGGCTGCAGCTCAAGGACGAGGCCCTGGCAAGGCAGGCGGTGGCCCTGGAGCGCTGTGGGCGGGCCCAGCGGTTGCAGCTGGGCATGGTGCGGGAGCAAGAGCGCGTTCTGCGGGCGCAGGTGCAGCGGCTGGAGCGCGACGTGTGGCGCCTGGGCCGTGCCGCGGGCCTCCTGTTGGCACAGCTCCACGCCGCGGACCCGTTGCCTTGTGCGGGCAGCTCCAGGCCGCAGATTCCGGCCGGTTCCCTAGGAGCCTCCGAGGCCACAGAGTTGAGTGTACTGCGGGCCAGAGCGGAACGCGCGGAGCGGGAGTGGGCGGAGGCGGCGCGCAGGCTGCGGGAGCACAGCGTCACCAAGCGGCAGCTGCGGGAGCAGCTGGAGGAACTGCGCTGCTGTGTGTATGGGCTGACGCTGTCGGAGATCGGCCTGCATAGCCAGGTGGAGGAGCTCGTCCAGCAAAACAGTCGCCTGCGGGCCCAGCTGGGGCACGGTAGCCCGGTAAGTGGCCGGAACTCAGGACAGGAATGACCGCTTACCCTCCTCTGACTCCTTCCTGTCCAGCCACTTGATCAAGGTCGTTTTCCAGCATCCTTTCATCATTTATCTGAGCCAGAGGCCAGTCCATTCTTCACCATACCCAGTCTCTGTCTCCACCCTTCCATATATAAAAAGTCACCACTGTCATAGGTCCCTCACTACCCATATGGCCGTCTACTCATCTGCCAGCCATTTGATGTCTGCCCATTTGTCCACGCACTTGTGGACTCCCATGTCCAACTATGTACTCTACCCCACAGCCAACTTCTGTTGTCCCCACCCCCCCCCCCCACTGTTAAGGGTTTGAATGTGCAATGTCCCTCCTCCCACCCAGGCCCATATGTTTGTGTCCTTGGTCCCTAGCTGATGGTCCTGTGTGAGGAGGTAGTGGAACCCCACTTAAATCGGGCAGGCGTGTTCAGTCTGAAGCCCTCAGGATGCAGTCTCTCTGGGATAGCTATAAATGTGGTCCAACACAAAAAGCCAAGACTTAAAACACCATGAGGATATTTAAAAATAACAGCCACGCAGTTCACAGTGTGAACTTGGTAGGGACTATATCGGAGTCACAATGTTGAAAGGTTAGAGACACCTGCTAGGAGGTGGGGCCTGGATGGGGAAAGTGGGTTTTTGGGGTGACCTGAGGTTCTAGCTCAAGGTTTCCACCTTCAGGAGCTTCCTGCACTGTGAAGAAGCAGAACCCACACTCCTTTCCAGCTGCTCCCAGCCCTGTGCCTTCCTTGTCATCATTGTAGCCTCTACGTGGAGAGACAGAATAAATCCTTCATCCTTTCGGTTGCCTTGGCCAGGTATTTCGTCACAGTGGCAAGGGAAATAACCAGTGCATCCCCACCCCAAACTAGTCTAGCCTTTGGTACCCAATCCAAAGCATCCACAGACTCAGTGTCAGAGACCTGGTTTGTAGATGGTACCTTGTGGCTGCCGAGTAGTCACCTGGGGGAGGGGCATGTGTCACTATAATGAGAGTGGCATGCCACCCCGAGGGGTCCATTCCTACTTAGTTACCTCCTCACATTGTTAGTGATTAGATTTCAATATACGAATTTGAGAGCAGAACAAGCATTTGGGCCTTGGCAGCCATCTGTCCTGGTCCCCGTTCACCTATGTCTTCCCCATCTGTCCACTCATGGAGCTGGTTGCCAGGTAGCCAGGTCCTCCTCATACCCTTCACGGTTTGTCCCTCTCTTCATCCATCTCTTTGTCAGTGAGTGGGTTCCTGCAGTGTGCAACCCATGTTAGAGACAGGTCCTCAACCCACAGTATAGGTCTCCTCTGACCCAGCCCTCCCCCAGGGCACTGACTCCTCCCCTGTCTTTCCTAGTGGTCATTCCATGTTGTGTCCTCCCTTCCTGGGCTGTGAACTTCCCAGGGCAGGTCCAGTACCCACTGGTTTTTGCAAACTCCATTCCCAGCAGCAGCACAGAGGGGCCCCAAGGACTGAAAAGAAGAAAGCACCAGGGGTTGGGCTTTTTCTGGATCTCTTCATTACTAGCTCTTTAAACATGGATATATTTCTTAAGCTGGGGCAAGAAGCCTGGACTTTTTTTTTTTTTACTCTTTACTTAATGGAAGAGCAACCAAGTACATTTAATATCTTCCAGATGTATTCAGAGCTTCCTTTCAAAGCTTGTAGCTATAGGGGCAGCTGCTCTCAGCATCCTTGCTCCACAGAGAGGAAGCTGAGGCTTTGGGCAGCAGTGCCTCACCTGTTGTCACATAGCTGTGGAGGGACAGACAGACCTGAAGGTTGGCGTCAGGATGGTGGCTCCAGCTGCCTTAGCCCTGGGTCCCTAAAACCAAAGCGAGTTCAGATCCTTTAAAGAAGAGGGGACATTTGGGAAATAGAGGCAAGAGGATCAGGAGTTCAAACTACATAGCAAGTTCGAGGCCACCCTGGGCAGTGTCACACAGACCCTGCCTCAAACAAAACACAACAAAAACAGACAAAAGAAACCAATGGGCGTTGCTTGTTTAAAACTTTGAATGTATCTTGTAATTGGAACCCTGGAATACTCGAGGTCTCCATACAACGGCCTGGCTCTTGCCTGGGCCAGCTTACTAATGGCGTCTGTGCTCCACCGTGCATCTTCACCGCTTTGGCTCCCGCCTGTCCCTCCTGTGCACTTCTTGTTCAGCCACTAAGGGGAAGCACTGTACACTCACCATTGTCTCCCTGTAACTCTGAAAATAAATGATGCGTACATGGAACTTGTCATCTAGAATCTTTTCTGTGATCGCCATAAATGTGCTTTCTATTAGGCAGTTGGCCCGAGGCTTTGTTCTCCCATCTTGCCATCACCCCAAGCGCTGGGACTCACTGTTCCTTAAAAACACTTCTCTGAGAAGAGTGGGTTCCTAGATGCCTGGCAGAGTCTTGCTCCTGTTTGTCCATTTCCTGTCCTCTCCTGTAACCCCTCATGCATCACGTTGTTCCCACAAAGCTGACGGAGGGACTGCAAGGAAGGGCAAGTGATTTGGTCACAGGCACCAAGACAGCATCAAGACCGGCAAAGGATCCCACCTCCCTCAGCTGGCCTTCCCTCTGGATCAGGGGCGAGCATCAGTAGCTCTTTGGGGTTTTGCACTCTTCAGTGACTGGGTCAGATAGGTTCTATGTGTGGCTGGAAAGCATCACAGCCACATCCATGACCTCAACAATGTTGCTTGCTTTCGCTTCAGCAAGCCCTGCACCCCAAGGAGCTACATCTCACCTAGGACCTCGACTATCAAAGCTAAAAGATGCCTACTGAAGGTCCCCTACGTTGTCCATAAGCTGTGGTCCCCATGTGTGGAGCAGAGGACAAAACAGAGGCTGCTGTGAGAACCCATGGACATGCAGCACTGCTCAGTATGGCATGGGGGCGGTACTCCTAAGGGAACTGCAGCGGGATCCCTCTTAGGGGACAGTGGTGATCTAGATGGGCCAGGATACTCTTGGACTGGTTAGTAAATTTCGGTGCCTCAGCATCCTTACTGTGGGATGGGACTGACACCCAGAGACTGTGATACTCAGTGAATGAGCCGCTCAGTGAGGAAATGACCACAGTCATAGGCACTGTCTGCGTGTGGCCGTACTGCTGTAAGGAACAGAGACTGGGGATCAAGAGGTATATAGTGAGTATATATAGGGACGCCTGCAGCAGACAGTCTTCACAAAGCTGCCATTTGCCCAGAGCTGGGTCTTCACTGCAGCCAGCTAATGAGGGGGTGGAGTTATTAGCCCTCACTTTACAGGTGAAGGAACTGGAGGAGGTGAGGCCTTAAGTCACATGCTTCAGCAAATGGAAGAAGCCAGGCTTGAAGGGAGCACAGTCCCCCAGACCGGAGACGGCCCTCTACTTCTTACTTCTGATGGAATCTGGGAGTTGTGCTGTGTGTTATAGAACAGGCATTGTGAGAAGATGGTTCAATTGCTTCTTAGCCACAAAGCTCTTGCCCTGAAAGGTTCTCTTAGTTGTTGTAAAGTAGCCAGGGAGGCCTTACTGTCCCTGTTCCTAAGCTGAGTCTAGAGAAATGAACTTAATTTGCCCAAACTCAGATCGGTGACAACTTTCAGAATAGGTTGCTTTAAAGCTACATCCACAGAGGGATGGGTCCCTGGGAGGAGTCTGGGGGAAGGGCTCATGCTGGTGGAAGGAGCTGGGGAGGACAGTGGGTGGCAAGCTGCCGTTGCCTGCTGGTGTGTTGGCATGCTTCTCTGCGAGTGTTCACTGTGCTTCTGCAGTGTCCCAGGCACAGCGCTAGGACCTGGGACTGGGGGTGATCTGGGTGTGGACCAGCTCTTCAGTAGCTTGGAGGGGAGATAGACACAGGGGAAGCAGTGGTGGTCCTGGCTTCTGAACAGCTACACCAGAAGACAGACAGATGGCCATGACCTGACCTGGGGGGTCACTGAGAGAGGTTTATGTACAGAGATGGAAAGTCAGACATCATGTCCTCTGTCATCTGGACTCTTCAGTGATGGGCATTGCTCGGTGCTTTCTGTATCTCCCTGTCCTGCAGGGCACATAGAGTGAGCCCTGGCAACAGCGGTAGGGATGTTTTCATTGTTGGAGAGAGACCCCTGCCTGTACCTCTGTAGGGCTGTGTCACCACAGGTTTGCTGTTCACTATGAAGCAAACTCTATTAAGAAATGGAGTCAAGAGGGCTAAGGAGATGATTCAGTGGTTAAGGGCCCTTGATGCTCTTGTAGAGGACCAGGATTTGCTTCTCAGTGCTCACTTGGAATAGATCACAACTGCCTGTACCTCAAGCTCCTGGGAATCCAATGCCTTCTTCTGAGGGCTCCTGCACACACATTCCAGCATTTATGCAGGCACACACACATACACATAAAATAAAATAAAACTCTCTAAAAGAATACTTGACCACAAGTCAAGAAATAAAGTAGTTGCCTAGCATGTGTGAGACCCCCAATTCCCAGCAAAATACACACACACACACACACCACACACACACACACACACCACACACACACACACACACCACACACACACACACCACACACACACACCACACACACACACACACCACACACACACACCACACACACACACCACACACACACACACACACACACACCACACACACACACACATACACACACACACACCACACACACACACCACACACACACCACACACACACACACACCACACACACACACACACACACACACCACACACACACACACACACACACACACACACACACCACACAAAGAAAACAGAAGGTAGTCAATACATGCAGCTATAAAGGAGCCGCTGCTCTGCAGGGTTTGGGCCTTTGCAGACCCAAGCCTTTGGGGAGGGCTGACAGTCAGTGAGTATCAAATGTCGTACAAATGCCTATATTTCCTGTGTGAGCATGAACCTCCATGGACAGATGTTTGCTGTTCTCATTGTTGTGACCAAATACACGACAAGAAGCAGCGTAAGGGAAGGGGAACTTATTTTAGCTCACGACTTGGGGTGTTTACTCCCAGTATGGTGAGGCAGGCATGGCAGGCAGCAGGGCCATGGGCCACTGGTCACATTGTGCGTGTGCTCAGGAAGCAGACAGTGGGTAGGAGGTGGGGCCAGTTCATCAGGTGTGTGCTATCACAAGGCTGTCCCCATAACCCACTTCCTCCAGGGAGGCTACACTCTCTGAAGGCTCAACAGCCTTCAGTGCCGAAACAGTGTCATTAGCTGGGACCAACGGTTCAAACATGAGCCTATAGGGACATTTCACACTCAGACCACAGCACATTTTGAAGAAAGGAGTCAGAAGCTGCTAAGCAGCTGCACACAGCTGTCTTCATCTCAGTGCTACTTGCCACTGGCAGAATCAGAAGTAGCCTCAGTGCCCAGTGAGATGGAGCTTGTGTGGTCTTGCTTAAGCCAGGGCTTCTCAAATCACTCATAACACCTCTCTCTTAAGAAGTTTTCCCACAATCTAGATTCGCCAGCATATAAAATAGATGCATAGGAGCTGGAGAGATGGCTCAGTGGATAAGAGCATGTACACCTCCTACAGAGGACCCAGGTTTGATATTCAGCACCCAGCATCAGGATGCTCACAACTACCTTGAACTCCAATTCCTGGTCATCTGGTGCCCTCTTCTGGCCTCTGCGCATACTCACCTCCCCAGTGTGTGCATACCTACACACAGACACACAGATCCACATAAATAAAAATAAAATAAATTTAAAAAATAGGTATACATGTGAAACATTTAGTGATGATAAGTAATGCAAATTTTATTTTAAACAATTCTTATATATATGTTTACCAATTACTAAAGATGAAAGCAAATTTGCGTATAATGAATAGAAGTGTGTGTATATTTTTGCATAAAGTCACACAGTGTAATATGGGTCAGTGCTACTGGGAACCCCTCATTTTCATTGCTTATTTGGTTCTGACTTTATTTGGGGTACTTGAGAATTCAGAACCCTTTTACCATTGCCATTTTTTTTTTTGGTGACATTTAGTTGTACAACCTGTGTGGTTCATGACACCCATTTTAAGAAGCAGCAGCTTAGGGACTATGTGGGCAGAGAATGTTAGACAATCCTAAATCACAGCAGGAGAGTTTAGGAGGATTTGGTTCTTCTAAACTATTGAATAAAAAAAAATGGTACAAAGCTAAAGCTAAAGTTTACATTTTGTGCAAGTGGAAGTCTTCTATTATCTGTGCTTTGAGAACAGCCCAGAAAGATGTACTGTGATGCATAAATCTTGTGTCTAGACACCCTTGTATTTCAGAGCAGTCACACACCGAGGCAAACCAGAATCCAGGCCGTTGTTCTCTCAGGGTTGAGCAGAGCACAGTCGTGGGAAGGATCGAGTCTGGATATGGGAGCTTTTCTCCTGTTTTCCATTTGACTTGGCCTGTGACCTTAGACAAGTTGCCCTCCCTCCCTGACTATTGGTTTAATCACTGACAAAGTGAGGGGTAGACCAGATGGAAGGTATCGTTTCAGTGTCCTAGCGTGCAGGATGCTGCCTAGATGTCTCCCTGGGGCGAAAAGTGTGTGCATTTTCTGCAGCTGTGTTCTCCAGTCTCAGAAGCAGGCCTGGCCCTTAGCTGGGGCTCAGCAAATGTTCCTGAAACCGTCTGGGCAGAGAAGCACAGTGCAAGCTGGCTGGACAGGAAGTGCCATGGTGAATGCTGGTCTTGGCGGAACATGACGAGCGACTCTGACCCCAGCCTTTCTTTCTCCACCTGCCCCTTCCTCCTCTCCTTCGGCCCTCTATTTTCCTCACCCTTACTTGGAGCTTGAGTTTTTCTTTCTCTTCTCATCCCCCCTCTTTTTTTTTATGTTTCATTTAGTTTTTATTTTCTGATCTTTTTCTCCATCCTTTTCAACCTTCCTGCATTTGTCTCTCCCTCCCTTCATCTTTCTGAATTTCCATCTTGTTTTCATGGTGATTTTTAAGTTGCAATTGGGACTGCTTAATTATGACCAGGTGAGAAGCGAGTGGACAGAAACAGAGGCAGGGGACAGGGCTCTGAGTGCAGTTGACAATAGCCTGTCTGGTCAGGCCTCTCTAGATGCAGCCCGTTGTCTATTAGGGTGTGAACTGGTGCGAATGCCCTCTGGTTGCTATCAGTTGGGGTTGAGTGTTCTTATTAGTCTTTGTTGGAAGCTTCTGGAGGAATTTATGATGCATATGGGGCTTAGGATTTATAGGCAAAAGGATGCAGCACAAACCATTGCACAGACAGATAAGTGGTCACAAGCACAGAGTGACTGAGGGAGGGACTGTTGGGGAGGATGATGGGGCCTTGATCTGTGAAAAGATCCTTTCTTTGGCAAGAAAGGCCAAAGAAAGCCTCATGGGGACTTGACCACTGCTGCCGTGGGACACTAAGCCTAGTTTACTGCCATCTTTCATGGATTCCTTGCTTCAAAGATGGAACTGAAAAAAAAATGGTTCCAGGTGAGTGGTAGTTTACTGTGGTGTGGGCTTGCCTAGGGCCACTCAAATACACCTTGGCTTACCACAGCCCTGCCCCATACCCTGGGGTCTACAGTCCCTGGCTAGAATACAGAACAAGGCGTATGTGTGAGACTGGGAGGATGGGGTTTTTCTCTTGCTGGAGAAGAGTGAGAAGGGTGAGGCACCCTGATCTGGTTTGGTTTCCAGGTTAATTTGCTGGTCAGATCTTCAGTGGAGTGGGCACAGGGCCAGGAGCCTGTATGACAGTTGACTGGCTTGTAGAATCCTACCCTAAAGTAGCAGAAGGAACAGCCTGTGCAGAGGTCCAGAGACAGAGAATGTGGCCAGCATGGTGGCAGGCCAGGAGGCCACCATGTCAGGGGCAAGAGCTCACAGTGGTCATGACAGCTGGAACAGCTCAGAGGTGGTCTCCAGGCCCATGTTGGGTATGTTCCTCTCTGCTCACACAACTGGCCTCCTGCAGGTCTTGGCGGGGGGCACTTCCCAGATCACTGGCTACTGTCACCTTTAGGACTTGCTCACAGGGAAACATTCAACATACCTGGGCAGATTCCAGCTTTTCCCAGTGGGACAGAGAAACCACACAGGAGCAAGGCTGGGACTCAGTCCCCGTCCACACCTCCCCATACAGTCTCTTGTCTAGATGGACAGACTACTCCAAGGACAGACTGCCACCCCTTGTAACTTACTGAAAGAATACCAAGAATCAACAAGAACACTGTGGCCTAGTAAAACAATGACCCAGGTTAGGTACCGTGGCCAGCTTTGAGCCCACCACTTTCTGAGCCTTAGTTTCCTTACTTTGGAGGGGTCTGACCATTGCTATAAGGGAGCCTAGGCATGGGCTTGGAGTGGACAGGTCAACCAGGGCACTTGTGACTATTCAATTCTTTGTCTCTCTCAAGGGTGCCTTGGGCTGTGCCCAGAGTGACTCTCTGCCCCTGCCCAGGGCAGAGGTGCTGAATCCCTGCAGCAGCCGAGGCTGCCACAGTGATGCTTGTGGACTTCAAGCCCTCACAGGTTTGTGGATGACGTCATACATAGAGGGGCCTCCTGACATCCCTGTGATAGGCCAGCTAGCTTAGTCCTCATGTTACTCTTACAGTGTTGGGAAGGATGATTTGCTCCTCTTACAGACAAGCCAAGGCTCAGAGAGGCTCAAGCACACAGTTGGTCAAGGCAGAATCAGTGTGTGATGTTCCAGGGGCCATTAGCTTAGGATAATTTGACACTTAAACTTAGGCACTCAGCTCTCAAGGGGTGCCAACCAGCTGCAGGCTGAGGGTGGGGGCTTGTCCTCACAGAGACATCTGTGGCAAGCAGGGATCACTCTAGCCACCTTTTACCCTTTGGCTTGAGGATGATACTTGTGACTGTCAGTCTGAGAATCACTGGGGCTTTGAAGTCCCCGGTCTCTAATGTCAGACATAGTTTCTCACCTCCCTGCTATAAGAGATTCTGCTTGCTCATCCTCAGTTGTCAAAACATAAGAGTAGTTCAAGCCTCATGATACCCAGGACTGTTGGTTGTAGGAGGAGGCAGCTGATGTCCCCCTGTAGTCACATCTAGGGTTGATGGTGTGGGGACAGAGCTGTTGGATGGGTCAAAGTACAATGTGACTTGGCGAGGCTGTTCCTGAAAGCTGGGCAGGGTTGGGGGTGGGGTATCACCCTGCTGGCAAATGAGGATCCCGAGGGTTCCAAATGCTCCATGGGCACCGTCCAGCTGTGGTCCAGGGCAGTATCTTAAGAGCCACTTCCTCTGCTCGTCCTTGGTAGTCATTCATATCTTCCAGGCTCAGGTCCTTGCCCGGCAGAAGAGTGGGGCTTATCAGGACTCACTGTGGGCTAAAAGACCCGAGTCAAGAGAGATATCTGTCAGCTGACATGGCTGTTGGTGGGCATTATGATAAATCTTCTAAGAGTGATTTTAACCTTGGGGTCTTGCTGTTCTAGGCCAGCTCTCAGAAAAGCCCCATAGCCGTGTTCAAGATCAGCCAGACCCTTGCTTGGTGATGCCAGCAAGTACCATAGGCGAGCTCCCGGAAGACCTGCCAGGGTCTGAGCATAGACAGGTGAGGCCAGAGAGTTCTGTGAGGATCAGTGGGGCCTTAGTGGCCGTGCTATGTGCTTGGTGATGTGGCCACCCTGGGGAGGTGCTTCTTGTTGGCAAACTCCAGATTTGGAAGAATATTCTGGAAGTGATTGAGTGAGAAGTCTTAGGGGATGGGTTACAGTTTGCTGAGACCTGGACTAAGAAGTATAGTGGGATCAAAAGAAGCCAGACCAAGCGCCTGACATGGACTACTTCACTCATGTTGTGCTGGGGAAGCCCTCTGACTACCCACAGAGCTGGTTCTGTCTTCCTATCCAGAGATGATGAGACCTGAGGGATGCTGGGAACCCCCAGAGCTACCCGAGGGATGCTGGGACCCCTCTCCCCAGAGCTCCCCAGCTCCAGAGGTACAGAACCCTGGTCTCCTCCTTCTGCTCTCTGTATCACTCTGATGGTCTGACCTCAGGAGCTGGATCTGAATTCGTCCTAATGCTGTGGCAAACCTCTGACCTCATCTTCTGTCTCTTGTCCTAAAAAACAAAGCTGAACTGGGAGTGGTGTCCGGATGTGGCTCTGTGGTTCTAAACCTCATCCATCTATCCATGCATCTATCCATCCATGCATCCATCCATCCATGCATCCATCCATCCATGCATCCATCTATCCATGCATCCATCTGATAGGGGAGTTCAGCCAATCACATCCTCTTCATGGGGCGTGTTGCCCTAAGGTAAAAATTTACCTATAAACCTGGCGGGTGAAAGCTCCCGCCCTCTCTCTCCCTCTCGACTTGGCCTGGATCCAGCATTCCAAATGGGTGGGATTCTGTGTAAGTTTTTCCTTCTGTTTTATTAAAGCTGTATCTTTTGTAAGATAGTCTGGGGACTTTTCATTCCCGATCGCCCTGCGGCATCATCCATCCATCCTTGCATCCATTCACTTCCTGAACTATCCCCTCATGTAGTTTGGCTTCATGTAGAGGAAGGAATTCCACACAATCTTTTGTCACCCTGAAATAGCATGTACTCGGCTTCAGTGCCTTATCTGTGTCTGCTAATTCTGTTATCTCAATCTCATCACTGTCTTAGAACCCACGTCACTGCTGCCCGAGGCCAGGGGCTGCTCCAGGGGTTGGGTATTTGTGAGGAGGCAATGTTTGGTTTGAGGTGAAGGGGTGTTCCTAGAGGATATCTGGGAGAGGGAGAATCTTGGGCAGTGGGAGGAGCTCAGGTCGAAGCCCTGAGGTGGAAGAGCAGGACACCCGTGCAGCTCTATGAGCAGGATCTGAGGGCACTGGGGGCGGAGCATGATCAACTGTAGGTGAAGCTCGGCAGGCAGAGACTGGTTCATACCCCATCTGCTCTCTCCACCTGCAGGGCGCTCTTGTCCACCCCCACCTAGATGGACAGATTCTTTGGCTGCGGTGTAGCTACCCCCCAGAACCAGGCATGGATGAGCCACTCCGCCCCTTGGCAGGAGTTTCAGAGAACCTTCAAGCTGCTGGAGCCCAGGAATCCTTCCTACTGTTACCCACATCCATGTTCCCGCTCTGGGGACCTGCTGGGGAACCACAGCCCCTACTGCCACCTCTGCTCTGGAAGCATCTCCTACAAGAACTTCAGACCCAAGAAGAGATGGATGGCAAGCCGTCCCCTGCCCCTGAGGTTGTGACACACCCTGACTGGCCTTGTGATCTGGCAAGGAGCCAAGTCGCCTCCTCCAGCCAGGAGTCTCCACTCGTTTCAAATGGCCCATTTCCCACAGAAGAGTCCAAGGAGCCCAGAGACATGTGGAAGGAGAGAGGCAGGCCTCCAGTTGCAAGTGCAGAGAAATGGAAGGTGATGGGTGTGATAAAATCAGAGTTGGATGGCAAGTCCTTGCTGGACCAGGAAACCAGCGAGAAGCTGATCATGAACACCGAGGACCAAGCCCCAGAGGGCATACAGGAAGGGAGCAGGGCTTCCGAGACCCAAGTCATGGCCCGCTGTCCTTGGCTCTGGCCGGAATGTCTCATGCTGACTCTGCATGGGGCAACCTCTAAGTCACAGGAAGGTCCTGATCCCTTGAGAAAGAGATGGGGTGTGGAAGGATGTGGCTGGGAACACATGGGAACACTGTCACCAGAGAAGGAGGAAGCGGCTACCAGCTCTAGGGCCCATGATACGAGAGAGCCAGAGCCAAAGGGTAGTCAGCTTCCTGCAGGAGAGGGCACAGAGATCTGGAGGAGGACACAGGACAAACAGGGCCACCAGCTGTGCTTTGGAGACACTCAATTCCTGCAAAAGGAGTGGTCTGGGGAGGAAGAGCAAGAGGAGAAGATGCAGCTCCGAGCGGCACCCAGCCCGGCTTCACTGGGTGACCCTGAGCAGCCTGACTCCATGCGCCATGCAGGTCAGGAACAGGGACTACCAATGGGTGATCGGGATTTGCTGGAGTTTCCCAAATGGGCCCCAACAGGTGGCAGCAGTGAAGGTCCTTGCCCCTCACAGACTCTGACCACAGGACAGGGCAGGAGCACCCTCCAGCTAGACACACTGGAAAGGGAGGTGGGGGCCTGCTTCCAGCACCTGAACAACCTGAAGCTTGTCTGTGACGATCCCCAGCAGATGTCAGCATTGATGAGAAAGAGCCAGAGTGTCGCTTATACAGGGTTGGACACTGAGGGGGATGTGTGCCATCAGCAGGTCTCAGCCAGCCAGGATCCGAATGCAAAATCTATCAGGAATGGCGAGGGAGTGAGGCCGGAGGAGGGTGTGGCTCTGTGCACTGGAGAAGTTCTTTCAAGACTAGCTGATGGGGATAAAGCCAACCGGGGTCCCGCAAAGCTGAGTGGGATCCCGCTCCCCTCAATGTGGTGTACCCCCAAGAGGGTAGGGAGCAGCTTCCTTCAGCTCCTTGACACCCCAAAGAAAGAGAGAAGTCAGGTTTTGCTTGACAATGCCAGGCTTCAGGGAGCCCAAGAAGGATGTCACCATGAAGGACACCGTTGTGAAAAAGAGCGGGCCAGAGAAGTGGCCAAGGTCCTGAGGCTGGAACAGACAAACCGATCGCTGCAGGGAGAGCTGGACCGCCTCAGGCGCGAACTGGACCAGTGTCTGCAGGCTGTGTCCGACCTGGAGGACTGTAATGGGAAGAGTTACTGCAAGATTTCCCAGCTGGAAGAGGAGAATGAGAAACTGAAGGGGGACCTGGGCCGGCTGCACAAAGCCATGTCCGAGAGTGTCAGGAACGCCAGAAGCAGGATGGAGCATGTCACCCTGGAAAACAGGGAGCTCAGGGCTCTGATCTCAGAGCTCGGAGTCAATTACAAAGGGCTGATAAAGGACACGATGCTAGGGATAGAAGACATGCTCTGGGCTCTGCAGGGGGAAAACCAGCACCTTGTATGCAGGGTCCAAGGCCTGGAGCGGGAGGTCCTGCAGATGAGCGGGAATCCCAGGGAAGAAAAGTGGTGTCGCCAGGGAAACTTCAAGATGGCAGGAGACCAGGGACACACGGAAGACAAAGAGGTCCAGGTGACTCTGCTTTCAGGACAGCTGGTTACACGAGCCTGTGGGCCACCCTGGGATGAGAAATCAGGCGTGACGTGGGGGCAGGCAGGACCTTCCTTCGATTTGGAAGGGTCCAGATGCGGGGCTGTGGCTAGTTCTGCCTCATCAGTCTGTGCAGTCACTACAGGGCCTCAGGAAGCAAACGCCAATGGAGCAAAGGGAGACGGAGCTCGGCTGCAGAAAGAACAGGAGACCCCATGGTGTTCCATGCAACAAGGACAGTCTCAGAGGTCCCTGAGCCGCAGCCTCCAGGTTTGTTGGCTTGCCTTCCCTCCTGTATTGCTGACTCTGTAGTGGGGTACCCCACAAACAAGATCTAGGCATCCCAGTGGCAGCCATATGAGGGAGTTAGAACTCCAGACCCATTTGCTAGATGAGAAAACCAGGCAGAGAAGTGAAGGGGTTTGCATGAGGTCGTCTGGCTAGGGAGAGCTGCAGCTGGCATGAACCCAAGTAGGCTGGCCCAAGATCTCCCTTCTGACTTGCCAGGTAAGCCTGACCCTCTCAGTAGATCCAGAGAGGAAAGGGTGCAGGAGAGGGCTTGCACTTTGAGGTCGTACCTTGGATTTTCTCAAGTGGGAAATAGCCCAAACAGCCCAAGCCATCACTCTTCAGGTGGGGTCTTAACAGTTGTTGCAGACAGAACAGTGGTCCATGGAAGGTAACACAGCAGGGGAATTGGGTTGGTTCTGTAGAGACATGAGACTTTGGTGCAGACATGGGAGTCCCTCTTCTGAGTTGCTCCTGCCCTCTGTCCCAAGACAAATCTCAGCTTTTATGATTCCCAAGATGAAACGTTCACATTGTTAATGTCTGGGGACCCTTCATACGGAGACCCTGCATCACTCCAGCATCCTGCCTCTCTCTCCCTCTCTGTGTCTCCATCTGCTCCCTCCCCTCACTCTCCATTGCTGGCTCCCACTTCCCTCTCTCATCAGCAATTCTAGTCACTATCAAAAACAGCCTTTGGATTTCTACCAGTTTCCTTTACTGTCTGCACTTCATCGTGTGTATGTGTGTGTGAATGTGTGTATGTGTGTGAATGTGTGTATGTGTGTGTGTGAATGTGTGTATGTATGTGTATGAGTGTATGTGTGTGTGAATGTGTGTATGTATGTGTGTATGAATGTGTGTATGTATGTGTGTGTGAATGTGTGTATGAATGTGTGTGTATGTGTGTGTGTGTGTATGTATAATTCTTTCTCTTACAATAGCTTATATTTTTGTGTACTTTGCTATTATTGTTCTAGTGGCCACTCTAGAAAGTTCAGGATGTATCTGTCATTTAGATTTGCCTTAGATTAATGCCTTTGTACCATGTCCCAAATCATGCAAAAAAAAATTTCAGTAGTTTACCTTTGCTAATTCTTTATTATCTTGTCATGCATTGTTTCGAAGTATAATAAGCTTCATGTCATTGCTGCTGCTGATTTGAGCAGCCATTGATCTTTCTTGCAAATATCTGCAAGTTTTTGTGGTGTTTATTCTTCCACAAGAATTTGGAGGAATGCGTTGCTGTTGGTATTTCTCATAGTGATAGTTAGCTGGTGGCTGACTTTCTTGTGTTTCTCTTTATGAAACATTGTTCTCGCTAGCCTTGAAGATCGTTTCTCTTAGATTCAGCGCTGTGGGTCAGCAGCTCCCCTTCATGCAGCACTCTGAAGGCTGCCTTCTGTTGTCTTCCGCCTCCAGCGAGCTCCATTTGGAAAGCAGTTGTCATTGTCATTTCTTCCATTTCCGGAAGAAACGAATGCTGTCATGTCTGACTGATTTGAAGATTTCCTTCTTATCTTTGATTTTTGGTGGCATGATGGATCTAGCTATGATTCTGTTTGTATTTTTATACACATTTCCCAAGCTCTTTGAACTTATATATTTATGCTTTTCTTCAGACTTGAGAGATTTTTAGTTATCATTTCCTTAAGAAAAATTTCCATATTCAGAGGTACATATGCATGTATATGTATAGTGCTTGTGTGTTTGGGCATGTTTGTTATTGCATGCATGTGTGTGCAGTGCCTGTATGTGTGCAGTGTGTGTGTGTGTGTGTGTGTGTGTGTGTGTGTGTGTGTGCTGTGCATGTGTGTAGATACCTGAGGTCAACCTCTGGTGTCATTCCCCTGAAGCTATCTACCTGTATTTTTCCTTCCAGACAAGGTTCCTCTGGGACCTAGAACTCACCAACAAGGCTAGAGTGAGTAGCCAGTGAGGCCTGTCTCAGCCTCCCCAGTGCTGGGATTGCAGATCCCAAGTGTGTGCCACCACACTTGGCTTTAACCATGGGTGCTGGACATGGAACCCTGGTCCTCAGCCCTGCAGCAAGCACGTTAGCCTACAAACCAGCTCTTCAGTCCCGTGATTGTCCTTTGGTCAGTATTATTGTCCTAATTCCCTTTCACCTTCTGTAATTCCAGACTCTTTTGTCTATTGAAAAGTTTGCCTTAGTTTTGCAGGCCTGTGCTTGTGTTTTGCGTTTTCTATTGACTTTAATTTGCTAGCTGTGTGTTCTGTTGTGACCCACCTTTGGATAAATTCACCCAGTGAGCTCCCGATTCTGTTCATAGCACTCTGTGCATCTAGACCATCCATTTTCTTATTTACAATGGAGAGCTACTGACTGTGCGCTGAAACAGTTCATCTTGTCAGCCTTTCAAATCTATCTTTCGAATGCGGAAACACACTAGCTGTGGCCATTTTGTAGGTCTCATCTCCTCTCCAGCATCTGGATCATCTCTCGGCCTGTTCCTGTTTGCCTGATTCTTGGCAGATGTCACATTTCACGGTTTCCTCACATATCCACCTACTCAAAGAACTTTTGATGTAGGACCTGTGTGTGATGTGTGGTAGAGGTCGCCGGCCACCTCTCCCTCCCAGCAGTGCTGTGAGTGTCTCTTGCTGGTCCCTCATGAGGTGACCTCTGGTCACTGTATTCTGTGAAAGTCTCTCTCAGTTCCAGGGTGTGCGGTGACTCTCCCAGTGTGGCACTTGCTCCTAAGACATCCACCCTTCTGCGACGTTGGCTGTGTTCCCAGAGTGTTCAGTGAGATGACTTCACCTTGGCTCAGCCCAAACACTGCCACCTTCTCAGCAGTGTGTGTGGCCCCGAGGCCCTGGTGGGTCACCCTCCCAGTGAAGGACAGGAGGAAGGCTTTTCTAGGGCAGCGTTTGTTTTTGCTTGTTTTAATGCAGCTCTCTGTTTGTTCTCCACACCTGGCTGTCCTTCTGTACCGAACTCCGTCTCTCATCCTTCCTCCCAGCCCTGATCTCAGCATTGGAACTAATTTCCTAAACCATGGTCTACAATGAGTTTCAGAGAGAAGCCTAGGGGTTCCTGCACTTGCCCGTGTTTAATCCCTCGCCCCCGTTGCTCCCCCAGTCACTTTACAGCACGTGCAAAGAACTATTTTTGTGTTTTCTCTCTGGATTTCTTGGTTTTCAACAATAGCGATTCTGACTTGACCTGGGAAGAACTGGAGATCCAAGGAGATGGATATATAGAGAGAGTTTCAGGGCCTTGCAAGATGGCTGCCCGGGCTCTGATGCAGTGAAAAGTCAAGTTTGCTGAACAATAAAGCTGAGCCAATGTGGCTGCCACAGCAGCCAGGGCTGTGGTGTGAGACGGAAGGTTGAGAAGCTGTAGGGAAAAGGTCAGGGCTGGCTAGTTAACCTTGCCCTGAGGTGGTGGTGGTGTGTGTGTGTATGTGTGTGTGTGTGTGTGCGTGTGTGTGTGTGCGTGCGTGTGTGTGTGTGTGTGTGTGTGTATGTGTGTGTGTGTGAGAGAGAGAGAGAGAGAGAGAGAGAGAGAGAGTGAGTTTGGGGACCTCAGAGGGAGTTTGGGGATCACAATCACAGCTAGGAGTTGGGAAATGTAGAATTAGCAGTTAGAGATGAACCCCACAGGGTTTAGGGGTGATCAGGGAAGAGGGTGAAGAAAGGTCCCCTTTTCTGTCCCTGAGTCTCTCTTAGGCCTATGGCCCTCTCATAGCTTCCTGTCATATTGGGCATGAACCCCCCAACTCTTACAGTAAGGATACATACAGCTTAGTCTCCACGGCTGCAGCAGCCACTGTCTATGCCCCATCTGCCCCACCCTGAGCTGCACCGCAAGTTCTCTGCATCCTTCACCGTTACTCTGTGTGTCCCTGCATTTAGTTGGAAGCTGCTACTGACCTTTGAGCCTCATGTTCGGGGCAGCCCTGTAGCCTGGGCTCAGGGTGGAGCGGGCTCAGGGTGGAGCGGACTCAGGGTGGAGCGGGCTCAGAGTGCTGGAGCTGACTCAGGCATAGCTCTTCGCAGCTCTGCGGTCATCAATGTCATTGTGATGGGGACTTATATCACCAGATAGGTGAATGCTACTGTCCCAGCATGCGCCATGTGTCTGCCACGACAGCACAGATGGAGCCAGATCCTCTGCTCAGAGCTCCTCAGGGCTCCTACAGTCTCTGGGCCTCCTTTTGTCACTTGGGTTGAACGTCCTGTGTCTGTCACTCTCCCTCTCAACCAGAACTCTTCGGGACAGTGTTCCTAAGCAAAATCACAGCATACAGTCAGTTGTGTAGGGTAGATCCAGGCAGCAGACAGCTTTCTCCTCTACCACCAGATCATGTTGTGGGCACTGTCTTAGGACCAATGGAGCAGAGTCTTTGTCCGAGCCACCAGAGGCAAGAGGTGGCAACAAACCACCAAACTTCTCAAAAGGCCACATTTTGGAGTATGGAGCTAGATTTTATGGAACCAGCCGGAGCACCCATCTGTTCCTGACAGACCCCAGCCTGTGAGTCTCAGGCCTACGCAGTGTGAATTTCTATTAATTAAGAAAAATATCACATTCTGCTATTGTGGTCATTGCTCACAGGGAGATGGCCGACCATCCACGGAGTCACATGGATCCTGCTCTCTCTTCCTCCGCTCTTCTCCTCCCCCTCCCATTCAGAATAACTTGGGACCCCTTTCTCCCTCTCCCACTAGAGTGTGGAATGGTGGGAGACATGAGACGAGTGGGTGAAGGACAAGGGTGTTCATGGCTTTCTGAGCTCCCCAGTCCTTCACAGAGGGGATGCTTCCTGTAAGCGGTACCTCCCCTTCCCATACCTACCTTAGTGGTTCAATCATTGGTCACACCTTGCTCATGGGCCCAGAAATCCTCCTACTGAGGTCTCAAGTCAAGCACCCACAGGTGTGTTCCTGTCATGGACAAGGCCTGTCTCCCCACTGCGTTAGCACAATCAAGTTGAGCACTGTTGCAGATGGCACCCCAATACTAACAAAAGTGGGGAGGGCATGTGGCACGCGATGGGCGAAAGGCAATAGCTATGTATCCTGTATCAGATCTTATAGAGGAGCTGGAGTGATGGCCTCAGGGTTAAGAGCACTTACTACTCTTCCAGAGGACCCAAGTTCCACTTTCCCAACACCCACACTAGGCAGCCACCAACCACCTGTAACTCCAGCTCCAGCGGGTTTGACGCCATCTTCTGGCCTCCTTGAGCACTGCACCCATGTGCCCCACACTCACACAGACATACACATGAATTAACATTTTTAATCTTTAAAAACTGATAAAGAAAAAAATACTTGTATGTGTGCAGATGTATGCATATGTAAGTTAGTAAAACGATGAGAACTTACCACACCCGGCCATTTGGGGGCAGCCCTGTCTCTACCATTGAGCCCACTTCCCTTAGGGCTGGGCAAGTTCCTTTCTCCCTTGCATCCCATGGCATCTCTGTGAGACCTGCTACCCTGGTGTTCTGTCAGAGAATAAGATATTATCTGGAACTGGTGTAAGCCAGTGCTTGTGGGAAATTCGGCACTGCCGTCCTATCTGAAGTCTGAAGCTTCATTGGAATGTGTGTCTGATAATTTGACTTGTGTGTGAAATGTCATTCATTTCTTGGTGTTTCGATACAGTGGTGACTGAGAGTGATTAAACAGAACCCTGGTCCTACTTCACATATTTTTGAGAATAACATTCTGGGATGTTGTTCTGGGGTTCCATGTCCTCTTCCCCTCCTCTCCCAAAATGTCCATCACGACCCACACACTCAAGGGTGCACACAGAGGCACTGAGAGCAGGCCATGTGGGAAATGGATGGGGCAATAATAGGCTGGGGTATAGAATTTGAGACAGTTGTTTGTTCCTTTCTTGTCTTTCTCTTTCCCTTCCTGCATCCTTCCCTCCATCCTTCCCTCATTCACTTTCCTTCCTTTCTTCCTTCTACTGTGAGAAAACCAATCAGGACAGGAAGAAAGACAGACAGACAGACAGACAGACAGACAGACAGACAGACAGACATTAAAACAGGTACTGGTTGTTGGCTAAGGCATATGAACACCTGAGGACTTCACCCACACTTTCTTCCCTCAGCCCCAGACCTCCAAGGCTGCTGTCCCCGAAGAAGACCCCAAACTGTGCATACAGCGACTCCACCACCAGGTGCGGACTCTACAGTGCCAGCTCAGGGACCAGGGCTGGGCACTGCGGGAGTTGCAGGTGGCTCGGGATGAGGCTGTGGGCCTCCAGGATAAGCTCAAGCGCAAGGTAGGCTGGGCCAACCCTCCTCTTCCTCCAAATGTTTCCAGACCCCAAGGATCCGAGTACCAACAGCTTGATCATGTTGGCTAGAGAGTTAAAGAACAGAGTGAAGGAAGGAAGGAAGGAAGGAGGGAAAGAAGGAAGGAAGGAAGGGATCTGGAGCCTTTCCAGCCAGCTGTCCTCCATTAGAAACGACGTGTACATATGGATCTTTAAAAAGCATCAGGCGCTGTGTAATTAGCGTTCCTATCGCTGTGATAAAACACTCTGGTCTTTGGGGAGGAAAAGGTTTATTTGACTTCCATATCCCTGTTCATTATTGAAGGAAGTCAGGACAGGAACTCAAGCAGGGCAGGAGCCTGGAGACAGGAGCTGATGCAGAGGCCATGGAGGGGTGTTGCTTACTAACTTGGTTTCCATGGCTTGCTCAGCCTGCTCTTTTATAGAACCCAGGACCACTAGCTCAGGGATGGCACCACACATAGTGGGTTGGGCCTTCCCCTGTCAACAACCAATTAAGAAAATGCCTTACCGTTGGATTTTACAGAGGCATTTTCTCAACTGAGGTTCCCTCCTCTCAGATAACTCTAGCTTGTGTCAAGTTGACATAAGACTAGCCAGCACAGGGACATTCAGATACTTTCAGGAGGGTAATTCAGTCCTTCTCTGCAGAAAATGTGTGGACACGATTCTAAAAGGGCGGTGAGAGGCTCCAGGGGTACTGGTTCAGGACCTTGGCTGTGAAAGATGGTCAGACCCACATGTGGCTCAACTCACGCAGACCCTGTCAGGCATGTTCACACAAAATGACAGAAATCCTGGCTGCGGCGCTGGGCCGTGCTGCCCTCCTGATCAGTCCCTCCTGAGGCTGCGGCTTTGTGGAATGTTTTCTCTAGCGGAAACCCCATGCAATACACAGGGGCTCCCCACCTTGTTTCTCATCATGTGTCAGCACTTAGTGCAGGCAGTGTTAGTGGTTTAATTTCAGTCAATATGTGATATTTGTTTATAATCCTTTATATGGACAACCCTAAGCAGCCCCCAAAATGTTTATAACTAAGCAATGACAAGATACATGACTCAAAATGCTTTCTCCTAATCTCCAGCTTTTCTTTCTACTCTTTTTCTCATCCACATAAAAAATCATTAGTTCTAGCCTGGCAGAGGAGGCTCGTGCCTTTAATCCCAGCACTTGGGAAGCAGAGGCAGGCAGATCTCTGAGTTCGAGGTCAGCCTGGTCTACAGAGGGAGTTCCAGGACAGCCAGGGCTACACAGGAAATCCTGCCTTGAAAAAAAATTATTAGTTCTTTGATAATCTCATACAATATGTTTTGATCATGTTACCCCTTTGCCAGTTCCTCATAGATCCACCCCTCCCTTCCCTATCCACCCATCTTTGTTGTCTTTTTTATTAAATCCATCAAGTACAGTGTGTGCTGCCCATGTACTCTACGATGTGTGGCCTTCTGTCACAGTGTGGTCCACTTACCAGGGCCTGTACTCTTCAAGAAAGCCGGCCCTCCCTCTCCCAGCAGCTGCCAGTTGTCAGTAGCTCCCTGGCTAGTGGTGGGACCCCATGCTCACTCCCCTTCTCCATGCTGGGGGTCAGTTTGACCTGAGCCCGAGTCTCGTGCAGTCACAAACACTAAATTCATATGTTCAACTGGCCTGCTGTGTCCCTAAAACCCTGTTTCCTCGTAGCCATCTATCACTCTGGCTCTTACACTATCCCTGCCCCCTTCTCCACAATGATCCCTGAGTCTAGGAAGAGACTAAAATGTGATACAGATGTCCCATCTAGGGCTGAGCACTCACTTTTGAGTTGCAACTGTCCTGTGCTCATTTCACGGGGCCACTTTCGAGCTTTTCCCCGAACTGAGGCAGGGAGCGGTTACATCAAGGTAACACACTGAGTCCCTGGAAATAAGTTAGTCTATCTGAAGCTGGAATCTACCCTTTGACCAGGCCTGAAAAGTTACACCAAACAGGTGCACAGAAATACTGTTTGTAAAACAAAGAAGCAGACCAGTATTACATATGTCCCCTAACGAAGACCTACTGGAATAAACCACACCACAAGCTGCACGTTTTAAAGGGATGAAGCCAGTTGGTTTGCCTGAACACATCACCAGGATTTTCTATTCAATTACCAAATAGGATGTGCGACACTCTCCAGGTAGCAGGTTTTCATGTGTCTGTGTGCACACATCTTGATTTGTGTGTGTGTGTGTGTGTGTAATGTTGACAGAAAAGATGATGGGTCAGAATAGGTCAGGGGTAAGGATGGAGGACTTATTTAGGCCACCGCAGACTCTAAAGAGAGTGTGAAGGAATAGCTATAAAATTCCCATTTTAATATATTTTATGGGAAAGAATTCAGACAATCTGGCTGAACAGAAGTGAGGTCCTTTGGTGGATGCTGGAGTAATGTGGAAAGTCTGAGTGACCTCACACAAGAGCCTGGTGCTTGTTCCTCTCTTTGCTGGGTCAGGTCCCACACTTGGTCCTTCCCAGCAGGGGCTGAGGCCATGCCAGGAAGGCGTGCATGCTATATTCCATGTGATGGGTGACAGAGGCGTCCCAGAGCTGAGGGCTGAGATGTGCTTCCCCTCAGGGACAGAATCCATGTTGCTACTTTGCGCCAAGCAGTAACAGTAGCTAATGACTGAGTACCATGCCCGGGCCTACGTGCCATGTATTAGTGAAGCCTCATCATGACCCTCTAATTGGGGTTAACAGTCACTGCACCCCACTGCACAGGAGACAGTAAGCAGGGAGAATGAGAGATTCACAAGCCACAGTGGGCAGCTGGGTTGGAATCACGTGTGGCTCAGGGATCCAAGTTTCACACGATTGTGTCTCTGTGGCTCCATGTTGGCGATCACAGTTGGCTGTTCCTCGGCACCCCATCTCTGCACAGGGAAAGGTGATGGTAGGCCAGCACTCTGCACTGTCGCCAAACCAAAGCCACACTGCTCAATCACAAGCATGCTTCTCCTTTCAGCTCGAGGAGCTTCAGGCACAGCAGCATGAAGCACTCCTGGCCATGAGTCCTCTGAAGGTAACATAGTGCCACATCGCTGTTTCGCAAGAGGGTGCTTAGTATTTCATATAAACACCTAAGAACGCCAGGGACAGGTGTCACCCAGGTCCCCACGTGGGCAGCATTCCATATATTTTCTTCGTCTGGCTTCTCATGTGTTCAAAATCATCCTATATGGCATGGGTCCTAATCCCACATGCTGTGTCCCACTTTCTCCTTGGCGCAACCGAGAAGGTGCAAGGGTTTGGAGACTGCAGGTGCTCACATTCCCACCCCCACCACAATCTTCCTCCTCTTCTCTTTTCTTCTGCCCTTTTCTCTCTTTTTCCCCTCTCTCCATCTCTTGTCTCCTCCACTGTTCCATTACTGCATACACTCCAGTACCTGTTTGCTAAGGAAGTTTCCCCCACCCATCCTTTTATATTTATATTTGGGACAAACCCAGGGATGGCCTTTGTTGTTCCACATACCCTTTGCCAGCAGGAGAGGGTGACATTTCATCTGGGCCTGCATTGGGAAGAGGCAGAGGTTCACCCTGAGGTTCTGGTCTCTGTGTGGTGAGCTAAGAGGAGCCTTGATTAAGCATCAGCCAAGCACCACGACGCCCAGAACCCTGTTTCCTTCTGCCTTCTCCTGTGGACTCAGTTTCCTCAGCTCTAATATCAGACATATGAACTACTTCCTCTCCCATCATTCCTTATCTGTCTTTGTGTTGGTAAAAAAGAATTGAGAATTCCTGCTGAGACTCCGAGATGCCATCTGGGAAACCATAGACAGGGCAGTACAATGAATCCCATAAAGTCAGACCATGAGAATGCTCTCCCACTAAATTCCTGCTTTGACAAATCCCTCTCATCTGAAGGAAAACTCCAGGACTTTGTTCTTTGTCAGTGTGAAGCCAAATGGAAAGGCAGGGCTGTCCTGGGTGGGTCCCGGTTCCCCTCACAATGCATTGTACAGACTGGTGGGTTGAAGTGTAGAGAGAAACTTAGTCAGAGCACTGTACCACAAGATAGCCCAACTCTTGCCTCCTACTACTGGGCCCTGGAGCCTATTAGCGTGCCATCCTGAGGTGTTGGTGTGGGTGAGGAATCATGCTGAGAATGGGGCACTGCCTTGGCCCTCGGTTCAACCTATACCATGCACCCCACATTCCAGGCCAAGCTGGCTTCCATGGTTCACAAATGCCAAGAGAGGAACCGCCTCATTGAGCAACTGCTGCAGGAACTTCCAAGACAAGAGCCCAAGACCCACCTGCTCTTTGAGCTGGCACAGAACATGCTTGATGATGTGGCTCTGGCTGAGTATGCTGCCACCTTCCTGACCCCGGGAGCCCTAGAGGTAAGTTGCCATGCACAAGGCTGTCCCTGCTGGTAGGGACCATGAGTGGACCCAGTCCAGACCCCCTGCCTGCCTGTGCTGTCTTGGCTACTGACCCACCCACTCCTCACACTCTCTGGATCCTCCTCCAGGTGGCACCGGTGTTCTGGGTACTGGGAAAAGTGCTGGGGATCCTTTGAAGGGCTTATGACTCAGAGGAACAGACATAAATGTGTCACATAAGCACCATCATGCTGTGTCACCAGAAATTCTTGTCACCAATACTTTATGAGGTCTGTACACATAGCCCCCTCCACTAGAAGGCTTGGCCCACTCCACTGGCAGTCCCCTATCCAGCCTTCAAGGCACAATTCCAAGTGCCTATCCCCAGCAACTGGTCTGAATACCAATGACCACAATCCCTGTCACACCCTTCTGCCCTGCCCTGCAGCTGGCCATGCATAGTGTAACATACACAAGGGATCCTTCCTGTGTGATTGAGAGCATTGCCTGATACCTCTCCGTGAGGCCAGAGCAGCTCCCCAGCTCTCTGTCTCGCCATTGTCTGACATAGAATCTGCTCAGGGAATATTTCTTGAAACACAAGATCAGGAACCAACTGGATCTGTAGCTGGGTGGGGATTGCCTGGTACAGATGAGACCCTGGGTGCTATGCCCAGCGCCGCACTCACACAAAGATAATGAACCAGTGTGTGAGAGTCTCCTCTGCTGAAGGTCAACAGCAGAAGAAACTGAGGGCAGAATATTCACATGTCCTTCTGATGGCTGGAGGATTGGTGCTGACTGCTATTTTCTTCTGACCCAGATAGAAAGCTTCCAGGTCTCTGCTTGGCTCAGCCTGGGGCACCCACGGTGTCAGCCACACAGGAGGCCCGATTCCTTGGGTTTGAGCCAGAGGTGCATCTAAGACTAGCCAGGTTACTGATGGTGTATGGTGGATGCAGGAGGTAAACACAGAGAGCTGTTTTCCAGGAATATGGTCTTGGGGTTGCTCCTGGCTGCACAGGGATTGACCTCAACCTCTTACAACCTGCAGGTGTCTATGGTCCAAATTGCCATGCAACTGAGGAGCTGGAAACTGGAGGTCATGGGGTTGTCAAAGGTGTAGAGACTTGGTGCAGGGCCAGATCTCAAATCCAGAACACCAAATGCCATGTTTAGTGTTCCTCCATTTCTGTGGCTATGGAAGGGAGGAAGAGAGAGAGCAGACTCTAGCTGAAGTGATTAAGACCGTCTCAGGGGTACAGTTGGTGCCTAATAATTGTGGTGAGTGAGGCAGGGATGAAGCAAGAATATATTGATTACAATATGAAACCAGGGTGGGAGAGGCTGATTTCCAATAACCAAACTCCAAGGGGCTGATGTGTAAATCAGAGCATGATCAATTATCTATGAAAAACAGAACAAGCATGTGGCCTGCCATACTCTAGGTGGGTGAACGCACCAAAAAAGTTGGCACATTTCCTCCCTACAGTTATCAGAGAGGCAAATTCATTCATGTGTTCATATGTTGGTCAATCACCATCTGTTGTCAGAAGGTCATGTGGGAACTGAAGAAAAACGGGAGTGTGGGATGGGGTGCAGAGTGGGATGGGGCTGGGACGTGGGATGGGGTGGGGATAGGGCATGGGATGGGGGTGTGGGATAGAGTGGGGATGGGCATGGAATGGGGGTGTGAGATGGGGCGTGGGATGGAGTGGGGATGGGGCATGGGATGGGGGTGTGGGATGGGGTGGGTGGTGGAATACAGATGGGGAGTGGGTGTTAATTGTTCCATGCTGGATGCTTTCATCTGTGAGGAAGTTCCCTGGATCTGAGTTGTCTCCTCTTGGCCTGGGGTGTAGATCTTGGGGAGGCCACACAGCAGGCATAACTGTCCCTGATGGTCAGTCTCTTTGTCCTCTGCATTGTCTACTGCATGTCACAGCCCTGGCTCTGCTCCCGACTCAGCTCAGTGCTACCCTCAGCTCTAAAGGTGTCCTAGTTTGGTTTCTATTGCTGTGAAAAATGCTATGACCTAAAGCAATTTGTGGAAGACAGGAACTTATTTGGCTCACAGATCACGGTCCAGCATCAGGAAAACTGAGGCAGGAACTCAGAGCAGGAACTTGGGGCCTGAACCTGGAAGCAGGAATTCAGAGCAGGAACTTGGGGCCCAAACCAGGAAGCAGGAAGTCAGGGCCCGAAGCAGGAAGTCAGGGCCCGAACCAGGAAGCAGGAACTCAGAGCAGGAACTTGGGGCCCGAACCAGGAAGCAGGAACTCAGAGCAGGAACTTGGGGCCCGAACCAGGAAGCAGGAACTCAGAGCAGGAACTTAGGGCCCGAACCAGGAAGCAGGAACTTAGGGCCCGAACCGGGAAGCAGGAACTGAAGTAGAGACTGTGGGGGTGGGGTGCTGATTACTGGGCTGCTCTGTAGCTCATGCTCAGCTTGTTTTCTTACACAGCTCAGGACCTGGTGGGGATGGTGCTGCCCACAGTGGGCTGGACCCTCCCACAACCACAGTGAAGATGGCTCCTCACAGGCATGGTCACAGCCCAGTCTTCTGGGGGCGACTCTTCAACTGACATTCCTTCTTTGTATGCACGTGTAGGCTTGTGTCAAGTTGATAAAAGCTAACCAGCATAGAAGGTGACTCTGAATGGAGCCCATCCCTGTGTTGTGCTCTGGAGACTGTGTCAGCCTGCTGTGCCCTTTCCTGGCCATAATGTTGACAGACATTCCTGCCACCCTGAGCCATAGATCTGGGGTGCTGGGGGAGAACAAAGGAGGCCAAAAGACAGCGAGCTAACAAAACGGACAGGGGAACAATTGGCTTCACCAGGGCTCTGGCCAAGGCTGGTGTACAAGGCTCTAAGTCCTCTGACCTTTGTTCTCTGATCTCTACAATGGGAAGAGCACAGTCTGTTCAGGACAGCTGCTGAGAAGCCAGAACGAGATAACCTGTCTCCTGTAGGCAAGAGGCTGAGATTGTAGGTCCAGGGTCGCCATCTCCACTCTACCACCCCTGGTGTCCTCCACTCGATGAGGGGGACACTTCCGTATTCCGCTGACTGTGTATAGGTGATGTTCTAAGTGCTTGCTGCAGACTAGTAAAGCACCTGTCATCCCACAAGCATGGTGCAATTATCCCCCATTCAGAACACAAAAATGAGACTCTGAAGGGTCTTCACCTACCCAAAGACCTGTGTCCCTGTGGAGCGTTCTAATTCGGCTCTTTCTGTGCTGAGTGACTTGCCTATGTAGTAGAGGGGGGTGGGACTTGAAACTTACAGTGGGAGTCTGCACACGCCCCAGCTATGGCCACTGCAGAGACGGGTAGGTGGGGAGTAGCTGCTGGTCACAGCTTGGGTCTGGCACCCGCCAAGGCAATTCCTCTGGACACAGGAAGGCCAGTCTTCAATGTATGGGTCTCTTACAGAATAAGGAGCAGAAACTACTGTGATGTGTTGTGAAGACAAAGAATATTCCAAGGGTGCATTTCCTGGGCAGATCCTGAGAGCAGGCACACAGGCGGCATGGCTGAGTGGAGTCCATGGTGTTTGCACTGGCTTCATTAGCTTCCAGAAACTGAAGGATGGTGTGGTGTTGCAGGATCCCAGCAACTCAAGAGTCCCCTAAGAGTCCCTTAGACAAGTTCCCTAGGCTGGGGTCTGAGGAGTTGGCTGTACGTTGTGTAACCAACCCTCTGTGCCTTCTAGTAGTACATTCTGGGCCATGACGACCCTGGTGGTCAAGTAGTGGCCAGAGAGGGACACTGAGTTTTTCAGTGGTGGTGGCGGCAGCGTTCCTGCTGGCAGCTGGCCTGGAAGCTGGTCCAGAGCACTTGGTTCCATGGACACTGGCTATTGCTTCAGGGAACACAGATGGCAGTCCTGATGGAGGCCTTTGGGCTTTGGCTGGCATCAGAGAGGACTGCCTGGTGGCTGATGAGTTGCTGATGGCCTTGGGCGAGGCTGTGCACAGCAGCAGCTTGGCAAGTAGGGAGATGGTGTGTCTCTGACAGAAGCCTTCTGGAAACATCCCTGGAGAGTTCAAACCCTAAGGTGCCCACCAGCCCTTCCTTGGAAACAGAGAATGTGGGAATGGGACATGGGCTATGCCCACCCAGGCAGGCCATCTGTGTTTTATATCTGGCCATGCTCCTGTCCTACCCTTCAGGCTGCCTGCCACTTCACAGATGGATTCACTCAGTCTTCCCAAATACCCCTTCATGAAGGAGGGCCCTAATAGCCTGAGAGCTGTTGAGGGCAAGGGATGGAGACTGTTTGGCACCTTCCCTTACCAGAAGAGGGGTGTGGCCACTTTCCATTTTTGCAATGGTGGAATTGCACCTCTGTTGAAGTGCTGAGATTTGGGGAGGGGCGGAGCCCGTACTTAGTCAGCCCTTCTCTCTGGTGCATGGTTGTGGGGCCAAGCTCAATGCACCTGCTTGTCACCTCACCTCTCCAGTGTGCCGCTTCCCCAGAGCGACACGTGCTGTCCATGCGCTGTCTCCCAGTGGGACCTCTTCTCCAGCTCAGGTGTCCTGGGGTGGTGACAGTGGTTCCAGCTCAGCCAGCTTTCTCTGTGGCCCGTGCTGAGGGTTCAAGGTCTTGGCATTTTCCTGGCTTTGGGATAGAGATGGGGAAAGGGACAAGCAAGAATTCCCACTCCCCAATCCACCTCACCCCAGGGCTCTTCTTGAGTGGGCCTGGATCAGAGATCAACAGCTCCTCTGTGTCCTTTTCTAGGCTCGCCTAGCTGGCTCACATCTAGGCATGGCCACCTGTGCATGAAGATGCCCTGATCACAAAGAACACGATGTTGGAGCCTCACCTCTCTAAACTATGTGTTTTGAGTCAGTAGAGTCCTTTGTCCCCCATGAGGCTCTTTGGGTATCGAATAATGTCTCATAGAGCCCAGTATGACACCTGTTATAGACTATGTCATAGTTACGTTCTGTTGCCGTGATAGACTATCCCAGCAAGAGCAACCAAAGGAAAGGGCTTATTTTGGTTCACAGTTCCACAAGGACAGAGTCCATCATGAAAGGGGAAGGCTTGGCAATATCATGGCAGCAGCATCTGGAAGCTGGCTTAGCAACATTTTCATCCACACTCAGAAAGAAAAAGAACAGGGAGGGGTGGGAAGGGGGTGAGAGTGTAAAGCTCAAAGCCTGTCCCAAGTGATAAACACCCTCCAACAAGGCTGCAAAATCTTCCCATCAGCCCCACCAACTAGGGATCAAGTGCTCGCATACATGAGCCCATGGGAGACATTTCTCATTCAGACCACAACAGGCACCCAGCAGGGGCTAGGGCACCATCCAGCCTCACTGAAGTTTCAGCTCCTTGGGAAAGCCAGGACCTTGGCGGTGCTTACTACAAAGCCCACAGAGACATGCACAGGCAGCTGTCTTGAATAGTAGAAGAGAGGAGAAGGCTAGCCGAGAGCAAGCAAGTGTGTGTTTATTCTCTTGACTTACAACTGCAGATGTCACGCCAGTAGCACCCAGAGTTCCCGCCTTGACTTCTCCAAACTGGTGGACGGTCATTAGGGATTGTAAGCTGAAATAAGCCTTTCTTCTCCCTTATGCTTTTTTAGCAAGGCATTTGTCACAGCAATGACAATGAAATCAGGACAGGGGCTTCTACCCACACCTAAGCACAGCAGGAGAGCAGGCACTATCGTTCCGTTCCTGGAGCACAAGGCTCCTGAAAGATGGGAGGAATAGGTTGTGACCAGAGGACAGGTAAGTAAAGTCCAGGCCTTTGATTACTAGTAACTGCCTTGGTCAGTCCATTCTGGAATCTGTCACAGAGCCCAGCTGTCACGTAGATCCTGGTCATGGCAAGTAGCAAAGCAGGTGGCTGAACTATGTCAGGAGGGAAGATGGTCAAGGGACCAGGGCATTTAAGTTAGATCTTGAGGTTCACACAGAGGTTTGCCAGTGAAGGAAAGAGAGCAGAACTTTCAGATGTGATGACGGGTTGTGCCAGTACCTGGAGCATCATGATGAAGATGGGGGAAAAGAGATGTCCCAGGGCCACCTCATGCAGGGCCCTGCCCCACACACAATGCAAGATCCAGGTTCGAAGATCTAGTAGATGGCTTCTTCTTAACCGCTCGGGGCTGCTGAGTGGAGTCTGAGTTCCTGAGGCCGCCCTGCTCCCTACAAATCTTTGCAGTAGTGCAGGGGTGGCCTTGGACTCCAGGTCTCCTCATTATCTGGGAGATGAATCGGTGGCCTCTAGCAGTACCAGATAGCCCAACTCTAATTTTTTTCTTAATGCAATTTTGAAAAGACACTTGTTGCTGTCTCTGCATGGTTGAATCTGAGTGAAAAAAACTGAATGGTCTCTGGTGTGTGGTACCCTTGAACAGGCCTGGCATGGGCCACCTGTAAGGTGACTGAGGAGGGAATGTGGGCGACATATCACCACCTCTACCTCCCAGCACAGGCTGAGCTCAGCTGCATGGGAAGGTTAGCCTCACGCTGGTCCTCTGGGAACATTTATCCTGCTCTACACAGTATACCCACTGAGCTATCTTTTCTTCCAGACAGTCTGCCGCCTGGATGTTGGCTCCAAGGGGAAGACAGCCAGAGGAGGAGGTCAGTGCATCTGCCAGAAACATTTCTGTGCGTTCAGCAAAAGTCAGGGCCGGGTTAGCCAGGTACAACCTGCCCAGTGTTGAGCTTGTACCATTAAGGGGACTTCCTATGTCTCTCTCTCCTGCTGCTCTCAGTCCCGCCTTCCCACCTCATAGTGTCAGAACACACTAGAAAGGGAGAAGAGCCTTAAATTCCTCATCTCTGTTCTTTATGAACCATTCCATCCGTTCCCCAGCCCTGGACATTCATCTCATATAAGTAATTCCCATAGAATATTAGGAACACGCTCAGGGGACAGGCATGTCACCCTATGCCCTCAATGTTGTGAGCTAACCCATGTCCTCTGTGGAAATAGCACAGCCATTAAGGTGGCCGAGAATGTCATGTCATAGGACAGTGTGATGATAAGGCATAAATTTCAAAGATGGGAGGACACAAGGTATTCTATACTGTCAGCTGTATCATGCATGTGCACCCTCGTGCCATCAGCAGGCCAAGAGATGAGCTAAATATTAACTGTGGTTGCTCAGAGAGAGGGACATGAGTCATTTGTTGTGGTCCTGTTGTCTTTACTGTAATAGAGAAATTAGGGCGCTAGGGACCAGACAGACTCTCCTCTTCTTGGGCCTTAAGTGCCACGTACTAGTAGTGTGGGCTGATTTACAGAGGTGGGGTCGAGCAGGGGTCCGAGGGTCTGTGAGGCTGCCCTCACACCAGATCTGTTTTCTCCATGACTCACATACTAGATTCTGTTTCTGCCAGCGCTGAGCAGTGGATGAGTTAATCAGCCTCTCTGAGCCACAGACCATTTCTGGAAGGATAATAGGATGATCATTCATCACACCCAGCACATAGCAGGATGACAATACACGAGAAGCAAAGGCTCTTCTCGTCAGCTTGGGGTTGCCCACTGCACCATCACTGCTGCCCCCCCCCCCCCAGCGTGGTCTGGTACCTGTTTCCACAGCTGGAGAGCTGTACAGTCTATCTGCCCCCACTCTGCCCCTGATTTCTAGCAGTCTGCCTTCTGTGAGCTCGGCCTTCTCACCTGTCAAAGAAGGAGATGCTTGTGATTAATGGGACTGTTTGTACTCGGTTTCTGGAGGCTGCCTGGCGCCCCCTGTAGGAGGTTCATGCAAGGGGTGGGAGCTAGCAGAGGGAACATGAAGGGGGGCATAGCCCCACCCTGGAGGAGTTGACAGCTACCAGGGATTAGGGAGTCAGGCAGTGGTCTGAGGTGTCACAAGACCATGATGATGTCATTACTAAGGGTGGTGCTAAGAGATTTCAAAGGCACCAAGAGAACCTCTGTCATGGGGTGGCCATTTGGGAGCATCTGTGGCTAGCAAGAGCATGGAAACAGGATGATGACGTTTAGGACCTGCCAGTTTTAAAGATGGATGCCTAGCCTGAGGCCTGACTGAGGATTCTCTCTTCCAGCTCAGGAGTATCTGCTTAATTCTGAACCGGACAGTATCCTTCAAAGCCTGTGGGGTGTGGAGTCCTGGTCCCTTCCGGGGACTAAGTGGGCATCTCAGATGGCTCCACCCAGTTCCCCAAAGGTAAGCACACACCTTCACCTCACTTCTGAAATGTGGTTTTGATTGAAAGTGGAATATACTCACAGATGGGCATGCTCATGTACATACATGCGCACACGCGCGCACACACAACAGAGAGAGAGGGGGGGGGGAGAGACAGAAACAGACACAGAGAAAGACAGAAAGAGACAGACATGAGTACATATACATAGACACACACACACACACAAAGACAGAGACAAAGACACACAGAGAGATACAGACAGACAGACATGAGTGCATGCACACACACACAGGCATGCATGACAGCTCCAATAAAGCCCACCAATCTCAGCGCTAAAATGTAACCCCATGTCTAATACCTGCTTTTTAGTTCTTGTTTCTGGTGAAGCCTCATGCCGTGTCTTGTTATTTGTCTTGAGTGCTGGCCCTCGTGTGTGGAGGCCTGGGCCCTCTGGTGATCCCTGCCCCTTCTTGTCTTGCTCTGACGGACTGGCCTGGGCAGTGCCCTCCTCACCCATGGCTCATTCAAAGATAACACTGCTAGAGCCGCTCTGTCTGCTCTCTGGCTCAAACTGACTTCTGAGCACAAAAACCTACAGGGTCCTCCAAGTCCTCCCCCACAGTTCCTGATGTCCCACAGGCTCACCCCAGAGACTCAGGCTGACAGCATTGATAGTGTAGCTCTGTGGCTGCTCCCCTTCCCATCCCAGGGGGATGGAGAGATGACTCTAATCTGCTGGTCAGACTGGAAGGCAGACACATAACCCTATCTGGAGGATGCTGGAGAGGCAAAAGAACCCCTGCTACAGTGCTCCTGTAGCTGGTCCTTCCTTTGAGTTCTGGAAGGGAACGTGGTTTCAGAGGTGAGATGCTGATACGGCTTGTCTGATGCCCAGGAGTGACTGGTGGAGGGCTTGTAGACAGGGAGGAGGGTGAAATCGCATGGCCCCGAGTGATGTGGAACCAACAGCTACACAGCCACATAGAGTTACATAAGATGTCTGGGGTCATCAAACTATTTGGCCTGTCTCATTGTGCAGAGCCCGGAGGCAAGCCTATAAGAAGATCCAGTGCAGGGATGTGGTTCCCTTTGGAGGGTCATGGGAACACTGGCCTGAGGCTAACATGCAGGAGCCATGGGGCCTTTCAGTGTTAAGGGTGTGTTCTCCTACCATTGAGAACAAAAGCCTTTGCTTCCCCTCTGCCACCAGCCCAATGCCTGCATGTTTCGCTTTCTCAGTGGCAGGGCTTGACAACGCAACTGGTCTCCATCTCCAGTCCCTTGGCTGTGACTTGGTAATGATGGTCTCTTAGGACTGTCATAGGAGGAAGTGAACACGCGATAAGATGTCTGATGCCAGCACAGTAAGTGCTTGGTAAGCATTGGCTGTCATTGTCATATCTTCCTTGAATAAGAGATGTGAGCTGCCATCCCATAATCAGGGGACACAGAGACTTACTTTTTTTTTCTCTTCTCCAGCTGTCCCTGTCTTCAGGCTCAGCCTGGATTCTGGACAGTGCCCAGCAGTGGGGATCCGGAGCTTTCCTTCTGCTAAGGGGCAGAGGCAAAATATCCCATCCTCCCTTCCTAGCAGGCAGTCTCTTGCCGCTCTACAGCTCCTGGAGGAGGCTGGCTTCCCACCAAGCACTCAGGCAGAGTGTCTGCAGCAATTCCCAAGCCAATAAATCACTGGCAGCAGGCGTGAAGTTGACAGGGCCACTCGCTCTCTGGGGCCACTTCACAGCCTCCATAAATATTTGAAGCTGAGCCTTCCGAGAGCACTTTAAGAAATCGGTCTCGGTCTTGGCCCTCGGTGAGTGGGGAGTGCCTTTGTCTTTGTCTTAGAGGCTTGTGGTTGTGGGTGAAGCTGGAAAGATGCCGGGGCGCCTTGCAGACTTAGCTCAGCTTTGCTAGGTACAAAGGCAGCGACAAAAGGTCTTCCGTGCACAAACCTAGGAAGGACTAGGCCACTGTGTCTCAGCCAGCTGCTCACCCATGGCCACCGAGTCTCAGCCAGCTGCACAGACAGCCTTCAGGATGAAGCATGGCATGCTGCCCTGGGGTCCTTAGGCCTCATGTCCTAGGCCTTGTTCTGGGCTTTTCCATTATGTGTCTTTCCCCATCTTGAAGAAAAGGTCAGAGCTCCCTGCCTGTCCTACTCTGTTCCCTCCTAGAAGGGAGCAAGGACAAAGACAACTCAAGATGTAGGCGGGGCCTGTGGGCTTAGTCTTAGTGCACTTTGGTTTTCAGTTTGAGAGAGAATGAACAGAGAATTCCCATTTGCCCTTGCCTTTCCTTCCCCAATATCAGTATCTCGTGAAACCAACCACAGTATGGATCTAGGACTTGGTGGGTTTGGTTTCCAGGGGAAATGGGAGCCACTGAAATGCAAGCAAAACTCACATAGCTGTGGCCACTTGGCTTGGCTTGGGGCTTGGGAGATGGAACCATGTCCAGGTTATATCCTAGTGAGGCTGCCAGTGGGTCAGCTATATGTTATCAGAGGTCAGGACTTGGGACAAGGATGGTGAAGGCCAGGCAGGAGCTTGGCCTGCAGGAGCTGGAAACAGCCACTCCTCTGCTGAGGCCTCTGGAGAGGCCGGCAACCAGAATAGCAAGCCAAAAAATAATTTATCAGTCAGTTGTCAACAAGCCACGTGCAGGACTTCCCCAGGAGTCTAGCCAAAGCCGGTGAGTTAAGTGTGCTCTTCCCCGCTAGTTGTGAGGCATGTCCATGGGGAGGCCTGGCTTTACTTGTGTGGTTGAAGAGTGGCTGTGTTGAGTGTGGTTTCCCTCCCTAGGGCCTCATTCATCTTCCTTTGACTCTGGGAGGCGGGCGTGGAGGGGAGAACTGGAGCTGGGTCTCCTTGTCTCCTGCCAGCTCCTGCCCCTGGGCTTCCAGGCAGACAATGTGTGGAGTGTGACCTAATGGCCTAAGCAGATGGGACACAGGGTGGGACTATGGGGTAGGAAGCTGCCCATGAGTATACAGGAGTATCCTCCTGGTGGAAGTGCTGCACCCTGAAAGTGTGTGTGTGTGTGTGTGTGTGTGTGTGTGTGTGTGTGTGTGTGATGCTGCCAGGGAAGAGGAGGTGTCAAAGTGAGGCATCCATAGAAGCTAAGTCCCTTCCATATCTCCCCAAGGTGAGCTGTTCCCAGAGAGAGCATGGTGTGCTGTAAGCCTGTACTGTCACATCCCGCTGTGGGACACACCGTTTGCTGTCATAGACAAGCCTTGCCCAGGGGTGTGTCAGTAGAGGGAGGCTGGCAGTCAACCCTACTGGCAGTCAGACTCTCTTCAAAGGTGATGGTTTCTCTGGGTTTAGCTGAGCACTGTGTGGGTCCACGTACGTCCAAGGAGGCTGAGGTAAGGGAAAGTTTGTAAACAGAAAACAAAAGGAGTACAGAGATGTCAACACAGTAAGTTGTCATTATAGAGACCTAGCCTGGTGCTGTACAAAATAGTCAGGCGTGAACCTACAGTGCTGTGACGGCCTCTGCCCATGGTTACACCTCCAGTAGGTCCTGCATTAGTTCTTGGAGCCAAGTTTGTGTGGTAAAATCTCCTCTCCTATCACCTCTGGCTTTAGTTACCATTGCTCATTGTTTTTATGAGGGTAGCAGCAGTGACTCCATTTCTGCTGGCAGCTTTAACATAGTAAATGTGTGTTTGTGTCTTAGTTCCAGCAATGGCTAACCTGCTTCCACCTGCTGGGCTCACAGTTAGGAGGAAAGGACCACAGGGGATGCTGGGAAGCTGTGAGATGGCCCTTGGGGACAGATGATAAAGTGCTGGAGAGAGTGGGTGGCCCTTGCTGAGCCCTGAAAGGGGATCATCTGACGATAGCGAGGTGGTTGGCTTCAGGGCCAGGCCAGTGGGTGCCAGATACATCTAGCACTGTGTTTGGTTCCTGTTTCTTTTGGAGGCAGGAGGCCCGCTATAAACATCATAGAAAGCAAGGATGTAGACAAACCCACAAAACCCTGCTGGAGTGTGTGTCCTGAGGGCAGAGCCTTGTGCTCTTCTCAACCTGGGTTAGCCAGCTGTAGCTTTCGGCTGCAGCCCTTGGAGACCTGGCTTCTGCTGGCAAAACACCTCCATGGTGACACCGTCTTCCACCATCCTTGCTGACACAGCCTGGTGACATGCTTCATGCTGTGTCCTGAAGCATTTCTAATTCAGAGGCAGCTTCTCACGCTTTCCCTGCCTACTCTGAAGGCGTAAGTCACAGACAATCCCACACCAGTTTGGAATTATGATTAATAGAATGGTTATTTATTCAAAGGGGAAAAAACTTACAGATTACCGTCCCAGACAACAGCCTCTCCGCGCGAACAGGAAAGGAGTCCAGGGGCCGGAAACGGAGCCGGAAGACAAAGACAGAGTGGAGGACAGCCGTTGCTTTTTTTAAAGGGAGAGAGACCACGCCCCAATGGGCTGGTAACTCAGCGGCGATTGGCTGAAGGAGCTGAAGGAACTCCCACAGCACTACTCAGAGAAGCAAATGGCTTAGAAGCTAAGCATCCCTAACTCCCACCCCTTGCTTCGGATTCAGGTTCTGACCCTCACTTATCTCCAGGGTCTCAGTGTTCTGGCCTATGGGATGGAGGTGTCTGGCTTCCAGCATGACAGGAAGGAGTGAGTCACACTCTGCCACACTAAGAGGGCTCAAATACGGAAGAGCTGCAGCATTCTTTCCTCTGTGTGACCCTGGCAGTGTGATCTTCATAGCTGGGGCACAGGAAACACCAGAGTGTGGAGAGGTGAGCAGGACTCAGCTGCACAGGAGGCCCCCGGCAGAAGAGGTTCGGATAAAGGACGTGTGCTGATCTGAGCTTCGTGTGACAGCTTGCAAGTGACCTCTGGGGCAGAGCTGGTCACAGTCTAAAGTGCCGTATTTGTGCCATGGTTGAAATGTAGGGTCAGTGTGCCGTGGGGCATGAGACACGACACACACGGGAGCCACGATCCCTGGGCTCAACACAGAGAGGTCTCTGGGGAAACCCAGAACCATAAGGGTCAACACTACTGCAGGCGCTCTTCCAGGCAGTAGTGAGAATGCAAGGGAAAGGGGACCTTACGAAGACAGGAAGCATCTGGGGTCCAGAATGCCCTTCTTGCCCTGGGAGCAGAAGGCAGGCCGTGTCCTGGGATGATGAGAGATTCAAGCTCTGAGTGACAGAGGCTGCGGAGAGAGGAGGAAGAATTGGGGCAGCTGATGTAAAAGGGGCCGTAAACTGGTTTCCAAGTAGGCATGGTTGTGCACCTCAGCACTTTTTGGGTGGAGATAGAGAGATCTCTAAGTTTGAGGCCTTGGAGAGGAATAGCAAGATCCTCTGTCACAGAAAGGCTGGATGGGGGAAGGAACAAAATTTAAGCTCATTTTGGAAAACATTTTTGCATGGAAAATGTCAATATTTGTGAAATCAGGCAGAATAGTAAAAGGTTCCAGTGTGCTTGCTCATTATTCAGCTTCAACAGAGATTGGCTTGAGAGCAGGCTCCTGCGTCAGGACCCTGCCCCGTCCCCTCTCTCCCTCCACTACACTATTTGAATGCGGAGCTAGACAAACCTTATTCAGTTTATGAACGTTTCAAACACTGATCATCGTGCTCCAAATAAGTGATAGCTCTTTAAGTCTATCAAACATTCAATCAGTTCAATTTTCTAATTATTTTACAAATTATATTAGCATTTTTATGGTTTACTTGAAACTAAGTCTAACTAAGGTCTCATTATAGCTGATTAGCATGTCTTTTTTGTTTGTTTGTTTGTTTTGTTTTTTAAAACAGCGTTTCTCTGTGTAATAGCCCTACATGTCCTGGAACTAGCTCTTATAGACCAGGTTGGCCTCGAACTCACAGAGATCTGCCTGCCTCAAAGGCATGCACCACCACCACTCAGCTGGCATTTCTTTTTTGAGGTAGATCTATGTAAGACAAATTTACCTCCTTACATAGGAGTGTGGTCACCTGCTGTGTGACCATCTCCTCAATCCCTCTCCAAAGCATTTCCATCTTCCCAAACTGAAGCTTTGTCCCTATGTAACATGAACCATCCACCTGCCTTGGTAATCACCTGTCTACTTTGTGTCTTAAAGAAAGTGACAGTGTCTAGGCCCCTCATATTTATGGACCCGATGGAATTTGTTCCCTCGTACCTAGCTTTGTTAGACTTCGTACAATGTCATGAAGGTGTGTGTGTACAATAGAGTGTACACACTAATTTCCTCCCTCTTAAAGGCCGGATATGCTTCACCTGGATAAACCTGCCACAGTTTGATCAGCCATCTGTCTATCAAACCATTCATCTGTCTGCCCACCTATCAATCTTTCCACCTAGCCACCCTACCATTCCTTCATTCACCCATATATCTACCCTACCTATTTATCCATCCATCCCTCCATCTATCCATCCATCTATCCATGCATCCATGCATCCATCCATCTATCCATGCATCCATGCATCCATCCATGCATCCATGCATCCATCCATCCATCCATCCATCTATCCATCCATCACATATCATCCATCTGCACACAAATGGCCTTTTATCTCTTTTAATGCACAAGTTTCCCCTTCTCTCTTCTTAATTTCTGCTCTCATCTATGGAAGAAACTAGGTCACTGTCCTTGTTTTGCACAGTGGGTCTCACTGGTATGTCTCAGTGGTGTGGTCGTGGTCCTACCCTTCTCTATCTACCCTAGACTTTGCCTCTGGTCCAGATTCATATTTCTGAGGACTAAGCATGTCTTCAGTCACTGAGCCATGCCCCATTCTCTGGATATCCCTCTCTCTTAGAGCACAGTGGCCACATGTACCAACTCCTTATGTGTCTCCCTAAGATTAGAAGCTGTTGATACCAACAGTAAGGAGTCTCTGCAGATTAAAGTGCATCTTTGAGAATGTTCACGGCAATGGGGACATTTGTGCCATTGTCAACGATGCAGATTCAAGAAGCAGAGGCCACAGAGGAGGCACCCTGGCTGTCTCACAGCACCCACCTACTCCCCCAGCACTGAGAAAAGGGGCTTTTAAAGTTCGGTTCAGAGAGATGGCAGGCTTAGGACAGGCATCTGGGCAGACGTCCTTGTAGACGTGTTCCTTACACAAGGCTACCGGTGGGGTCTTTGTAATAGGTTACAGATCTGGTGATAGTTCCTGCTCGCAGGCCTTCATGGTCCCTTCTTCCAGCACCCCCTGGCTTCATTTGTTGTTGCTATTAAGGTTCAGCAGGGGCTACTCCATTTTGAATCTGAGGGCTCTCAGAATGCGAGGAGAGAGCTGCTCTTGGATATGAAATTTAAGTGTGCTACTAAGGAACTCAAGTGTTGCGAGGCCTATTTATGTTGGAATGAAAGTGGATTCTAGAAACTTCTCTCCTCTCTCCAGGCTTCTCATTGTGTTTCCTATTAGATGTACCAAACTGGAAGACAGAGACTAAGGAAACCCCAGTCATACTCTTAGGGCCAACCATTGTGATCATCCTCTCCGAGTGGTCTCCTGGGCCTGGAGAACAGATGGATCTAGGTCCAATGTATGGGAAAACACAGATAGCAAAAATTTCTAGCTCATGGTTAATGAGTGTCTGACATAGGCTCAGTATTTGTTAGATGCTCATGGTAAATTCAGGTCTCCTCCATATGAAAAAGGGCAATCCTCAATGAACTACTGTCTCCCTCTCCAAGGTGAAGGTGTTGTGTCTGATTTAGCCTCCAGGCCCCTCCTGGGTCAATGTGTTCCCCGACTTCTTTGCCCACTGAATATGCCCCACGTGAGTAACCAAATCTTCAGATGCTCCAAGCTCACATTCATGAAGCACTTTCATGAGGACAAATGGAATTTTCTCTCTTTCTATCTGAGAGATGGCAATTGGACCCAGCTCATCCAATGCAGCAGAAGACATAGGCAGTGAAGTGAGTCTGGTGAGATTTAGCCTCAGCTGGAGCCTGGGTACCAGTAACCACTTGGTCCCTGGGGGACGTGTGTCAACCCCCGTCATGAGAAGGCCTGAAGGATGATGGATGGGGAGGTCATGGCCTCGCAGGGCTGTGTAATTAGACTGATGCTACCAAGGGATACCCGCTAACACACATATTCTGGTTTTCCTTCACAGTGGGGGCTGGGGGTTCCAGAAAGCCCGGGGCCTCCTGCTTAATGGGAGGGCTGTACAAAGAGCCACGCCCTCCCCAAGCAGGGTCAAGAATTGGAGCCATGGGTTTCCATTAAAATTCACTTTAGAAACCTAATGGCAAGCTTGGAAGTGTAGCTCATTTGATAGAGTGATTACCAAACCTGCAGGGGTCCCTGGGTTTTATCTCCCTTCCCCCACAGAATAAACCACTCATGGGTACCACATGCCTGTCACCCCAGCACTTGGGAAGTAGAGGCAGGAGGATCAGAAGGTCAGGGTCATCCCTAGCAACATAATGATGTTGTGGCTAGGATGGACTATATGAAATAGGCTGAGGGGTTTGTGGATGGACTGAGCTGCAATGGTGCTGATCCTGGGAGGAATGGAGTGGAAGATTGACAGTGCTTTAAGCTGACTAGACGATTTCCAAACATTGCCTGGAGACCATGGCCTCCCACGCAGTGCCTCCCCACTCCTGGCACCACCGATAGAGATGAGCATACTTTGAACAGCGTGATTTCTGTTTACCAAATCAAATATGTTTATTTGGGCGAATTGGGGAAATGCAAACAAATAAAGCAGCAAACAAAACCACCAGGAATTCCAGAGCTGAGAGATGGTGAATTGACTCCCAGGCAGCTGTACTTTTGCAGTCATTGAGTTCCCACAGTGATAATGAACTAATGAACGATGTCTCCAGCACTGTGTGCTTCACCAGCGTCACACTTGGGAGGTGCAGGAAGGCGTGTTGGTAAAGACGGTGCATTCTGGAGCTGGTCAACCCTCTTCATAAACGTCATTAGATGCTCTTTATCCTGCTGGGCCTCCATTTCCCCATCAGATCCTGTCATGGACATCAGTGTGTTCCCGTACAAAGGCTCAGAACAGGGCATGACACTCTAATGAACTGTCACCTACAAGTTCAAGTGTTAACATTTGGTCCCCAGCTGGTAGCACTGTTTTGGGAGGTGGAAGAACTGTAGGAGATGGGGCCTGGTTGGAAGAAATAGGTCTAGGGGTTGTGCTTCCCAAAAGTATCCTTCCCAGCTCTCTTCCTGTTTCTTTCTTTCCTTCCTGTGCCAGCAAGGGGATGTTCCCTGCTGTGATACTTAGTTTCGCCTCAGGCCCACAGCAGTGGAGCCAGATGGCTATGGACTGAGACCCCTGAAACTGTGATCAGGGGCAACCCTTCCTCCTTCAGGCCTTTTCTCTCAGGGATTGGTCATAGCCATGGGTCCTAGGGTTTCTGTTGCTGTGAAGAGACACCATGACCATGGGACACTTATAAAGGAAAACATTTCATTGAGGGAGATTGCTTACAGTTTCAGAGGTTCAGTCCGTTATTATCATGAAGAGGAGCGTGGCGGCATGTAGGTAGCCATGGTACTAGAATAGTAGCTAAGAGAACTACATCTTGCAGGCAACAGGAAGTCGACTGAAACACTGGATGGTATTCTAAGCCTAGGAAACCGCAAAGCCCACTCCCTCAGTGACACGGTTCCTCTAAC